GATTATTGATGATAGTATTATGCATGGTTTTACAGATGGTGTGGGACAAATAAATGAAGCCGGAATCGATCACTATAACAAACTCATAAATGCTTTACTTGCTAAAGGTATTTTATTGAACTTTGTTGCATGATTTTAAAAGTCTAAGTGGAGAACTAATCATTTTAAGTTACAAACTTACAATGCATCTACAATCATCGGATCTGTTTTTTTTTGTGTGTGGCTAAAGTATGGTTGGTGGAGTTTATTGTAGGGATCGAGCCATACGTGACGCTGTACCATTGGGACCTTCCTCAGGCACTTCATGATCGATACCTCGGTTGGCTAAACCCACAAATCATGTAATAATCCATACAAAAACAGTATGATTAATTAATCATTCAATAAAACTATTAATTACATAGACAGAAATTAATTTCAAAAGGCAATAATGTATGTACCCTTTTTCGTAGAAATGATTTTGCAGCGTATGCGGAGGTTTGTTTCCAGAGATTTGGAGATAGAGTGAAGCATTGGATTACATTCAACGAGCCACACACATTCGCAATACAAGGCTATGACGTTGGCCTACAAGCTCCAGGCCGTTGCACTATTCTTTTTAAGCTCACTTGTCGAGCAGGAAACTCATCTACCGAGCCTTACATTGTCGGTCACAATGTGATTCTAACTCACGCCACCGTATCCGATATCTACAGGAAAAAGTACAAGGTTAGTCAATACTAAAGTGAAAACATGGTGTTACATGAAAATAAGATATAGTTTTAATGTATAATTATGATAGGCTAAGCAAGGAGGTTCGTTAGGGATAGCGTTTGATGTAATGTGGTTTGAACCGGAGTCGAACAAGACAGAGGACATTGAAGCTGCACAAAGAGCTCAAGACTTTCAACTTGGCTGGTATGTATATGTCTTACACAACTTGGTTATATTCCATAATTTATATCAAATAATGATATATCTTTATATGATCTTAATAAGGTTTTTGGATCCGTTGATGTTTGGGGATTATCCGAGCTCGATGAGAAGCAGAGTCGGAAGCAGATTACCGGTGTTTACGGGATCTCAATCTGCTCTGGTGAAGGGTTCTTTAGATTTTGTAGGAATTAATCACTACACAACGTACTACGCAAGGAACAATGCCACCAATCTCATCGGCACTCTTCTACACGACGCCATTTCTGATTCTGGAACCGTCACTCTACGTAAATACTTTATACTTCTCTAACTCTCACTTAAACGCTAGTCATGAGTATCTGATCTTAACTAATATTCTTTGTTTTGAATTTTCAGCGTTTAAGGGTTTAAGCACAATTGGAGATAGGGTAAGAAACATTAGTAACTCTAATTAGTTATATATAAATCTCCCAAAATGATTAGTACTGTCGAATTTCTCTAAACTGGTGTTACATATGTTGTTGTCGCGGACAGGCAAGTTCGATATGGTTGTACATAGTGCCTAGAGGGATGAGAAGCTTGATGAATTACATCAAACATAGATATGGAAACCCTCCAGTCTTTATCACTGAAAATGGTAAAACACACACATCTTTTAAAGTCTTTAGACAAGAGAGTTTGTTAATAATGTAATGATGTTTGTTTGTGTAGGAATGGACGACCCAAACAGCATTCTGATCTCAAGAAAAGACGCTCTGAAAGATGCAAAGCGAATCAGATACCATCATGATTATCTTTCGAGCTTACAAGCTTCGATAAAAGAGGATGGATGCAATGTGAAAGGGTACTTTGTGTGGTCGCTATTGGACAATTGGGAATGGGCAGCAGGTTATAGTTCAAGGTTTGGTCTCTACTTCGTTGATTATAGAGACAATCTCAAGAGATATCCTAAGGACTCTGTTCATTGGTTCACTTCTTTCTTGAACTCCACTTCTTGATTTCCCCTCCTCGTGTTGCAAAAAAAAAAAAAAAGATTTGTACTATAGTGGTTTGTGATAGTCTAGGTGTTATCACTCGGATTCGAATTCGCATATTGCATATTGTTGGGAAAAAGAAATATTAAACACAAAAAAATCATTGAAAGCTACTTGTCAATGAGACAGTTTCAAACTATTTTTAAGTATCTTGCATTCTTTAGATATAACGTATAATCCAAGATGACAACCCTTGAAAGAAGAGTGTAAATAATGCCATACAAAACCAAGAATTTTCCAATTCAATTCACATTAATTCAAAACTTATTAATAATTCAATTTTTGAATGCACCACTTACATGTCTAAAACTTTCATGAATATCATATATGATGATTAAAACAAAATTATTTACCCCTTAGTATCTTCAATATACGCAAGATAATACCTTCATTAATTATTGAAAACCAAGTTGCTAAAAATAAATCTATAATTTTTCTTCATAAATCTTATAAATGCTTTTGGGGTATTGCTTCTGGACCCATTTAACCAATTTAGCTGAGTGTTACAATTATAAAAGCAAGAGATTAGATACACAAGTGATTCTTAAGTCTTAATCCCAAAAAGGTCCAATTAAGTCCCATCCTAATCTTTTATCCAGTAAATTTTGTAACCAAATGATTATGGTAGCAAAAAAAGAAAAAAAAAAAGCGTTTGGGATTTATTGGGAGCAATAAATAAAAAGTTGAAATGTGTAAGTCAAGTTGGTGAGTGTGTGTGTGTATTTATATTTTGAGAAGACATCTTCTCTGCAAATTCCATCGTCGTCGCCGCAACAATCTCCTTTGGTTTCTCTCTCATTCTTCACCAGCAACAAAGCCCATCTCTCGCTTGCTTACTCTCAAGTCTCAACGGAGGTAAATTTCCTACCGTTTTCTATATCTCCTTCGTAAATGTATCGTTTTTCGATCATTCTCTTCTTGTGCTACTTTGAATTGAGAGAGATCAGTTGTTATTTCTCTAACTGGAAACATGGGTTTTGTTTCTTCTAGATCGTACAACCAAAGATTGTGTTTTTACATTTTTGTGATCAGAAGAACCAGATTGATCCAAGTGCATTGCGTTATATTGTCGAAACGTCGTGTGAATTTTATAATCTGGTAGCATATTCTGCTGTGATCATTTTGAAATCGATACATCTGAGCTTACAAGGTGTTTGATTTAATGCCGCATTTGTAGTTGTTGAAAATTGTGAATTTGTTGTTTCTGTTAAAGGTTTTGTCTTTGTATAATTGACTGATCTGGTCGACTATATCTTATGGCTTTGTACTTTATCAGGAGAAGTTTTGAAATTCAGATATGGTGAAGATATGCTGCATAGGAGCTGGCTATGTGGGTGGTCCAACCATGGCAGTGATGGCTCTTAAGTGTCCTGAGATTGAAGTAGCGGTTGTGGATATCTCTGAACCAAGGATCAATGCTTGGAATAGTGATCGGCTTCCTATTTACGAGCCGGGGTTGGAAGATGTGGTGAAACAATGCAGAGGGAAAAACCTCTTCTTTAGCACAGACGTGGAGAAACATGTCTTTGAGAGTGATATTGTGTTTGTATCAGTTAACACTCCAACCAAAACACAAGGTCTTGGTGCTGGCAAAGCTGCTGATCTTACTTACTGGGAGAGTGCTGCTCGGATGATCGCTGATGTCTCCAAATCTAGCAAAATCGTTGTTGAGAAATCCACGGTTCCTGTGAGGACAGCAGAGGCTATTGAAAAGATACTGACCCATAACAGCAAAGGCATAGAGTTTCAGATTCTCTCAAACCCGGAATTTCTTGCTGAGGGTACTGCAATTAAGGACCTTTATAACCCAGACCGTGTGCTGATTGGTGGTAGGGATACTGCAGCCGGGCAAAAGGCTATTAAAGCTTTAAGAGATGTTTATGCTCATTGGGTTCCAGTTAAACAAATCATTTGCACGAACCTCTGGTCCGCTGAGCTCTCTAAGCTTGCAGCAAATGCATTCTTGGCTCAGAGGATTTCTTCTGTCAATGCCATGTCAGCTCTATGTGAGGCAACTGGCGCTGATGTTACACAAGTTGCGCATGCCGTTGGTACAGATACTAGAATTGGTCCAAAGTTCTTGAATTCTAGTGTTGGTTTTGGTGGATCATGTTTCCAGAAAGACATCCTAAATCTTATCTATATCTGTGAATGCAACGGTTTGCCCGAAGCAGCTAATTACTGGAAACAAGTCATAAAGGTGAACGACTATCAGAAAATAAGGTTTGCAAACCGGGTTGTTTCTTCTATGTTTAACACAGTTTCGGGCAAGAAAATTGCGATCCTTGGTTTTGCCTTCAAGAAGGACACAGGTGACACGAGAGAGACTCCAGCCATTGATGTTTGTAACAGATTAGTTGCTGACAAGGCCAAGCTGAGCATATACGACCCACAAGTCCTTGAAGAACAGATAAGAAGAGATCTTTCCATGGCTAGGTTTGACTGGGACCACCCTGTTCCTCTTCAGCAGATTAAAGCTGAAGGTATCTCAGAGCAAGTGAATGTCGTCTCAGATGCTTACGAGGCAACTAAAGATGCGCACGGCCTTTGTGTCTTAACCGAGTGGGATGAGTTTAAATCCTTGGACTTCAAGAAAATCTTTGACAATATGCAGAAACCAGCTTTTGTGTTCGATGGTAGGAATGTTGTTGATGCAGTGAAGCTGCGTGAGATCGGGTTTATCGTCTACTCCATTGGTAAACCGCTTGATTCATGGCTCAAGGACATGCCTGCTGTGGCATGAAGGTGCCAACTTCAACCAAACACTATATCTCATTTCTATAATATAGTATTAAGATTCCTTTATTTCCTGATTCTCATTGTAACCAAGCTGAAAAATGATACTATGTCCTGAATCTGCTTAAGCTGAAAGAGTATATGAATAAAAAACTTCTGTTTCACTCAATATTTTTGCCTTACCATGATTATAAAATCTTCTAACAAAAATAATTGAAATTTGGGGTTTAATACTACGCCGGAAAATGTAAGGATTGAAGTGTAAAACTTACAAAACAATAAGGAGTAGATAAAAAAGTGTACTGCTTTTAAATTTGGGGTCGAGCACAATATTAGGGAAATTTGCGGGTCAAATTCGAATTAGAGTTTTGGGCAGCTTTGTTTAGAAAATAGCTCCACTTTTTTCGATATTATCTTCTCTCGTCTTCGTCCCCAAAACTTTCATCGTAAATCCATATTTTCTATCTTTTTCTTTTTTACTGGGATTTTTCTAAATTAATCTTGCAATTGATTTGTAGATTCATCAAATTCTCGTTCCCCTCTATCTATTGATATCAATTTTGATCTATTTCGTTTATAATTCTAGGGTTAGGGTTGTTGATCTCCTCTCTAGTTGTTTAATATCTTGATCCATCGTTTCCTTTCGCTATTTACATCGATTTTCTTAAATATTCCTTTTAATTTCGATGTCAATTTCATGTTTTTCGTCCCCGATTGAAATCTAGGGTTCATATTTATCGATCTATCTTAGGGCTTTCCAGATCTATAAATTATCAAAGGGCTTTCTCTTGATTTGTATAGATTTGATCAATTCTTATCCAATTCATACTTGATTTGGTTGATTTTTGGGTAGGCTCGAATCTAGGGTTAGGGTTTCTTCTGATTTGGGGATTTTCGTTTTTTTTTTTCCAACTTAAGCTTCTAAAGGCTGAAAATTCCTATCGAACATCCCTAGTTTAAGTCTTCTGGTGGCGTTCTAGTTTGGTTCTATCCCTAGTGAAGTTGGCCTGAAACGTTATCCGAGTTTACTTGTTTAGAGAGGTAAGTAATATGCATGGTAACTGGACATTTGTTCTTGTCTGAACTGGTTTATAAGCATTAGTAGTTTCTGCCATTTTTGGTTATTGCACTGGTTCGATGTTGTGGTGCATGTTTGTTATACTATCATTTACTTGTTTCACTGTCCATTTATTTGACTGTTCCAGTTCTAAGGATTAACGGTCCGAGTTTATTGCATTTGATTACCCATTATGCAGGTTGAAAATGGGATTCAAACGCCCTTTTGAAGATGAGAAATTTCATGAGCTCCCACTCAAACATTCTAGACAACTTGGCTATACCGATAAGTCGACTCAGTTTGAAGAAGTTAGTCCTCACCATGCTGGTTTTCAGAAAACTGTTGCCACGGGTAAATATTACGTGTAATTATAACTTCTTTGCGGGATTTATTCTTGTTTTGAAAGAATAAACTTCCTTATGTGATTTGCTGTTCTCTTTTGAATGGGGTTACTGGACAATAGTGAATGAGGGAAATCTTTGTAAGTCACAAGGCGGTGAATCTTCTGATGCTGATATGTTTGGCGAAGAGTCCAATTTTGTTTACCCGGTTCATGACATGGATGATACTTTTACATGGGATACAAAAGGTTGTGGTGGAAGAGATGCAACTAACTCTCCCCATTCTGGAAAGTATTTTGAGCTAGATATACCTCCAAGAGTGTTTGCTCCTGTTGAGACTTTCTATTCATTCCTCCTGGATCAACCTGCCAGAAAGAAAGTGCCCATTGGACCAGGTTATCAAGCCGAAATTCCTGAATGGGAAGGTAGTCAGACTGGAAACACAGAGCCCTCAGGCATGTCGGTTCAAAATCACATTAGTGGATGTGCTGATGGTGATAAGTTGTTTGGTACATCTGTTATTCCCATGCCTGGTTTGACTACATTTGCACATATGGATGACATAGTAGGGAAGGGTAGAAAGTTCTGTGTCTGCCGGGACATGGGTTCTGTCAGGTGTGTGTGCCAGCACATCAAAGAAGCTAGAGAAGACTTAGTTAAGACGTTTGGAAATGAGACATTCAAAGGCCTGGGCTTATGTGATATGGGGGAAGAAGTTGCACGGAACTGGAGCGATGAAGATGCACAACTTTTTCATGAGGTTGTTTATTCCAATCCTGTAACATTGGGTCGGAACTTTTGGAAGCACTTGGAAGCTGCATTTTGTTCCCGAACTCAGAAAGAGATTGTTAGCTTCTACTTTAACGTTTTTGTCCTCGGAAGGAGAGCCATTCAGAACAGAGCTTTTATATTGGACATTGACAGTGATGATGATGAATGGCATGGATGTTATGGAGGCTCTTCGGGTTTTCCTTATGTTGAAGAAGATGAAGAAGACTCTGCTATTGAGTCTCCTCTTCATCAAGGGACTGAGAAAGTGTATCCACTCCATCACGAAGAGGATGAAGAAGATGCCAATAATAGCGGCAATGATGAAGATGATGCCTATGTTGATACTAGAGAAAGTGGCACTGGACTGTATGACGAGCACACGATGAATTCAACAGTTGAATACATGGATAGATTTTCTGGGAACAATGGGGAGAGACTGAACTTGGAAGATGACTCGTGCACGTCCTTTGAACTTGCACATGATGCAGTGAACTGTGGAAAGAAAGATGAGACTGTTCCTGGAGAGCATCAGAAGAAGTGTAATGATCCAATGGACGGACACTAAAGTCTGGGCTGATTCGAGTTGTTTGAATGTTTCAACAAATGGCAAAGATCTTCAACCAACGCGGAGAATCATGGAGGAAAATATTTGGTAATGGATCATGGGAAAACAAGGCAAGAAACAAGTGAAGAAGAAGCAAACATCATTCTCAACAACTTGCAGAATCATGGGAGAGATATTTGGGGTTTATGGGGTCCTCCTACAAAAATGTTCCTATTAAAAGTAGAGAGAGGAGAGAGAGACTTTTAGACTTAAGAATTTTCCAGCCTTTGTTTCTCATGTGAATGGGCTGTTGTTTCTCTTTTCTTGGGGCCCTCTTTCTCAAAATCCTTTACTTAGAATGTCAGAATCTCTCTGATTTGTAGTAAAAGATTTTCTCTCCTTTTTTTTTGTATAGGAAGTTTGAAGGCAAGGTCTAGCTTTTGCCTTAAGAAACCATCACAGAGAGAAAAAAATGGAAGTAATTTGGGTTTGTTTAGTAAAAATTGTCATTTTGTTGGCTTAAATCTTCACTGTTGTTAGAAACTCACAAAATTCAATGCCAAAGTTTGTTGCTTTAGAATAGGAGAATATGTGGGCAGAGAGAGCCAATTATGGTTCTCTCAAGGACACAAACGTTTAAAGGCTTTTGGGTTGTGTTGTTTGTTTGGACGCCGAGAAGTCTCTATAAATCCTATGTTTGGCCCCATGGTTTGTTATACCCACTCACTAACCCGAATAAGAGTTTTCTAATTCAAAGTCTACCAAGAATTTTATTTAATAAGGAAAAAAATCTTTTGATAGCCAAAAAATTGAAACTTTTCTGTAAATGTGTGATCTGTTTGAAATATGGGTTAAGAAAATGGTGGGATTCATAACGAAGTGGTCTAAACAGATCTAGACCGTCCATTTAGCTTTTCTCTCTATCTCTTTTTGATTCCATGCATGAATTGAACAACAACAACACACACACACACCGGAGAGATGGAGAGAGAGAAAGAAAGAGAGAGTGGTTTTGTTTGTTGAAGAGGAAGAATAGATCCAAAAATGCAGCTGACCTTTGATTACTCGTGTTAGCAACACTTTTCTTTTTTCTTCTTTTTTGTTCCCAAACTCAAATAAAAATCTAAACTTTACTGTTGAAATTACACAAAAAGCTTGTTTTTACTTTTCTCTCTGTTTCTTAGCTTGAAGTTCGGATCTTGTACTTAGCTATAGAGAGAAACTGTCACATCCCTAAATCTGATTACAAGAAAAAAGAAAGCATCAAACTTTCTCTGTAGCATTTGGGGAATTTTCAGTTTTGTCGGTTTCTGCAGCATTCTTCTTCCTTCAGAGATTTTGATTTGAGGTAAAGTAAACTCATCAGGATTAAAAGATGGGTTCTTTACTTCTTTCGTTTTTGTGTATAAAGAAGAAACCTTTACTGATTCTTGCTTGTTTTGTGTTTGATCATTTGTCTAAGTGAAGAATCAAATTTTCAAATGGAGGAAGGGAAAGAGAAGTTGTTTACGTGCAAGTACTGTCACAAGAAGTTTCCTTCTGGGAAATCACTTGGAGGTCACATTAGAATTCATACCAACGAGAATTCAGTTGGTTCTGATCGTTACAATGCCAAGAAGAAGAAGAAGAGGTTGGTGGATCAGAGAAAGATGATGGCTCAGAAACAGAAGCAACAACAACAAGTTGGTTGCAGAGAATGTGGTAAAGTGTTCGTTTCTTTGAAAGCTCTTAGAGGTCACATGGCTTGTCATCACTGTGAGGGAAAGAAGATGTTGATGGATAGCCAATCTGATACTGAGACTGAGACTTCATCAGCTCCTATCAGGAAAAGATCCAAGAGGGTGGTGATGAAACGATCCAATTCTGAATCTTTTAGTAATGGGAGCTCCTCTTTTGTTTCTGAGATTGACCAAGAAGTTAGGGATGCGGCTGATACTTTGATGTTTTTGTCGAGTGATTCTCGTAGTTTCAAGAAAAGACGTGACTTGGTGATGAACTCTCTGGGTGAGTCATCTGACAACGACTCTTCGGTTGTGGAGACTAAGTCATCTTCAGGTGATGAGCTAAAGATCTTTAATGTGAAGAATCAGGTTTTAGAGACAGGGAAAGTTGGAGTAGATGACCATTTGAGATCTGATGATGATGATGATGGTGTTAGTCTTTGTGATTCAGATGACTCTGATTCTGATTACTTCATAAATGGCCCAAGTAAGTCAGATTCAGACATTTCTGTTGACAAGAACACTGGATTTGGATCTGGATTCAACAACTCATTGAACAGGTTCAGGAATAGTAATGAGGGAGGATCAAAGTATGAGCTGAGCAAAAGCAAGAGAGCCTTGTTTTCTTATGAAACTGAATCATGTGCAGACACAAACAGCAAGATTCATCATAGGTTCAGAGATAGCAAATCCTCAGTGGTTAAGAAAGAAAGTGATGAGAAGAAGACAAGCAAAGGTCATGAGTGTCCAATTTGCTTCAAGATGTTCAAATCAGGCCAAGCTTTAGGTGGTCACAAGAGATCACATTCCATTGCAAACCAAGTAGCTGATACGCGTAACCAAATCGATCTCAATCTTACTGATTCAGATACTGATGAATGAATCAGAACCTGAAACTAGAACTCATCCTCGGTTTTTTCATTCTCTCTGGTATAAAGTTGCTTATCACTTAGTGAGCCAATTCTTTTCTTTAGGAATACAAGTATTGATGTATATATTATCTTCAGCTTCTTAGGGACCTTTCATGTTTCTTACTGAGATTCATTCTTCTTGTCTTCAAAGAAAGCTGTCAGTTTTTAAGTTTTCACTTATAAGACTTCCTCTGTATTCATATTATCAAAATCAAAGTCAAGACTACAAGAGCCATTGTCTCTTTTGGTTCCAACAAAAAAGAGAAGAGATTTGTGTTCAAGTTAAGATGTTAATTCAATTGAAAACACGAAAAGCAAAATAAATAAATACCATATTTGGTAGTTGGGTATCAGATAGACTCTTATTGGGCCTGTTAAGGCCTGAACCAATGGAAGCTAATAAAGACCCAAGAGAGATAGCTTGAGACACACGAAACAACTCAAATATACACGTTCTTGTTTATCTTGTATAAAAGTTGTGTACGTAAATACTACATAAACCCATCATTTTGTACGTATTGTGTAAAAAAGCTACAGAAAGTGAAATAAATCTAGGATCGAAATGTATATAATAAAGTCACGGGTTGGTATTTATGTCCATGAAAACGAACTAAGAAGAGGACCCATATTTTTTGTATAACCAGTTTTGCCCTCTCATTTACTAAAACAAACCGTCATAACATCGATTCATGTGCATCTTCTGTGTTGCATTTAAATCCCAATTTGCTTCCACCAAATATCTTCCCTCTCTCGTTTTTAAACTTTTCCTTCTCCAAGAACACTTCTCACTTTCTCTCTCTCGCTCTCTCTTGGAAACCAAAACAATGACGACGACGACTCACCTGAATCGTCTGATCTTGATCTCTCTTTTTTTAGTCTTTTTCCTTCTCAAAACCTCCACCGCTTCTTCAACCGTCGTCGAAGGAAACAGAACATCAAGAAACTTCCGTTACCGAACTCACCGATTCGTCCCGAGGGTTAACCACCACCCTTACCACGTGACTCCTCACCGTTCGTGCGATTCCTTCACTCGTCCGTACGCGCGTTCTATGTGCATTGAGCTTCAGAGAATCCACCGTAGCAGTCGGAAGCTGCCACTTCTTTCTCCTCCTCCTCCAGAGATTGACCCAAGGTACGGTGTCGACAAAAGACTCGTCCCCTCTGGTCCAAACCCGCTTCACAACTAAAACCCTACCCTCAAGTTTCTATATATACATAATATACATATATACAGAGAGACATTTGTCACACATTTTCTAATTAACACATTTCTTGGCGTTTCTTGGACTTGTTCTCGAGAGAGATTTGTGTATTTTATAGAGTTATTTCTTCTTGGTCTTCTTTGCGGAAATTTCTTATTTCTACTCTCTTGATCTTGTAATTGAATCCTACGTTATGGGGAGATATGTCCACGCTTGTTTTTGGGCTTTGTAGAGTGTGGAAACAATCTTGGAAATAGTGTATTTTTGCAAGGGCTTTCTTTTTATTTTTCTGATGAGAAAAATGATTAATTAGTATGGAGAAAAAAGATTTAGTATGGTTGGGAGAGAAAGAGGTGAAGAAACGCATGAGTTCCATTAATTTGGGAGCTGTATTTATGTAACTCTAAAGTTTCCATTGGTCTATCAATAAAAATTTAAAAAGATTGATGGGGCATATATATGTTCTTCTCTCTTGTGTGATATTTCGCTGTAAAGATATTTATTTCGCTTGTCTCTGTCAATAGCACAAGTAAAACTTTGCAAATATAGGAACTTTTATTTATAAGTTTGCCAACGAGATTTTCCTTTTAACAAAAAAATTTATTTTTCATTTTGCCAGCCAGATTTTGTATGTCTACTCATTTTTACGAATGTGGCACCGCCCACCGTGTACGTGTTATCATCCGATTTAATCAACGGATTATATAAGTTGTAGAAAATATTCTTGAGTACTTTTTAAGAAAAGGAAAGTTATGAAATAAAATGTTGAATTCTAATAAATCTTAATGTTTATCGCCAAAATTATGGGATAAAAGTGATATTTATGCTAATTTCAAGATGATGAATATAGTGCAAGCCTGGCAAAACAGAAAAGGAAACAAGAAGCAAAATTGTGAAAGAAAAATTCTTATAAAGTAAAATAGAAAAAACATGAATACAGTTTTGGTATAAAATGAAACAGAAAAAGGTATGACTTTTGTTTGTAACTTATGAATATCGAGTATTTTTCTAGTAACTGTATGTAACCTTTTTGGGTTTAGAGCCTTTCAAATCTCTGGACCGGACCGGTCTACTGGCAACAAAATGATGGATTCAACTACAAAATGTCGGATCTACTAATATTTTTTTTGCTTAATTTGCTAATTACTTTCTTAAGATAATTTGTTTGGTTGCTTTTATCCCAAAACAGACTAAAACAATGCGTGTATAGTTTTCACTCTTAAGCGAAATCCGCCTAGACAATGGTCACGTCTTCACTCATTTCTCTACTATTCTTATTAATGTCAAAAATTGTAATGTAATAATCTGAGCATTATTATTTTTTATTTTATTTCTTTCATTCCAAACCCCAAAAAGAAAGTAAATCTGCTAACTTTAGATATTGAGGAAATTTCAAAGTCAGTTTTATTTGTTTCCTGTTTTTGTGTTCTCTTTGCCTTGATGGTAGGATCTGTACTTAACAAGACTACTGTTACATCTCCAAACTCTGATCGCTGGGAAAGTATCAAGCTTTCTGCTTGATTCTCTTTCTTAGCATCTGATAAGCTTTCTTTGAAGATAATTTGAGGTAAAGCAAACTAATGGGTTCTCACTTTTAGTTTGTCCCTTCTTCTTATGATCTTTGCTTATGTCTTTTGTTTTGATCAGATGGAGCAGTTGAAAGAGAGGAGGTTTGTGTGTAAGTTCTGTAGCAAGAGGTTTCCTTGTGGGAAATCACTTGGAGGTCACATCAGAACTCACATGAATGAGAATTCAGCTGATTCAGATGAGGATGAGGCTAATAAGCTCAAGATGATTGATGAAAATGGTGGTCAGTCTAGTTATGGTCTCAGAGAGAATCCTAAAAAGAATAAGAGGTTTGTGGATCACAGACAGATGATGGCTTTGAAACAGCAGCAGCAGCAACAACTACAACAGCTGCTTTGTTGCAGAGAATGTGGTAAAGGTTTTGTTTCTTCTAAAGCTCTTTGTGGTCACATGGCTAGTCACTCTGAGAGAGAGAAGATTGTTATGGATAGTCAATCTGATACTGAGGCTTCTTCCTCTCCTATCAGAAGAAGATCCAAGAGAGTTGTTGTGAAACATCACCACAAAGATGCTTTTGTAGTTGGTGGTAATGGTATCATGAATCAATCGATTTCAGCATCTTCTGATGCTTCTGAGATTGAGCCTGAACAGGAGGAAATGGCAAGGTCTTTGATGATGCTGTCGAGGGATTCTAGTTTCAAGAAAGAACATAACTTGGTGGTGAACTCTTTGGCTGAGTCATCTGACAACAACTCTGTGATTCTTGAGACTAAGTCATCTTCAGGAGAACAGCTTAAGATGTTCAATGTGAAGAATGTTGAGGAGTACTGTAAGAAGAACAAACTTGTAGTTGATAACCAGATGAAAGCTGGTGAAGATAATGGTGATGTTCTTTATGATTCAGATAATTCTGATTCTGGCTACTTCAGGAATGGACCAAAGAAGTTGGACTCAGATGTTTCTGTTGATGGGTTCTTTAGGAACAAAGCTGTAATGGGATCTGGATCCGGATTCAACAGCTCCCCAACAAAACAAAATATGAACATGAACAGATTCAAGAAGGAATGGTATAAGGAAGGAGGGTCAGGGTCAGGATCAGGTCGTTCTTCTACAAAGTATGATCTGAGGAATAGCAAAAGAGGGTTTCCTTCTTACGGTCGAAAGAAAATCAAGTACGAGTTCACTGAATCTGTCTATGATAGTGGTGAGCATAGCTTGGAAACTGATTCTTGCGCGGACACAAACCGAACTATCAAGATTCATAGTAAGTCCGCAATGGTTAATAAAGCAAGTGGTGCAAAGAAGAAAAACAAAGGTCACGAGTGTCCGATTTGCTTCAGGGTGTTCAAATCAGGACAAGCTTTAGGTGGTCACAAGAGATCACATTTCATTGGGAATCAAGAACACAGGACTTTGGTGATTCAACACCAAGTATCTCATGAGATGCATACACTCATCGATCTCAATCTTCCTGCTCCTATTGATGAATGATTTAGTAACCGAAACCGTGATTGTGTTCTCTTTATTGTTTCCTTTCTGTTTATTGATTCTTTTGCTTCAGATTCAAGAATGCTTTTGGTTTGGAAGGTAAATCAAATCATCTTTTATTTGTTCATAATCATATAAAGCTTGGTGCTTTTGTGGCAGAGTTCAATGATAATTCAACTGAAATAGAATAGTAAAGAAATTATGAGAAGGAAAAAGAAAGCAAAAGGACATTTTGGCCTCTAAGAAGAAACTCTTGTCAAAAGTGTTCTTCTCTAATTTGGTCAATTATTTTTAAACAACAACAACTATAAGTGTTTTATTGGACCCTCTGATCTAATTTGGCGTAGATAACATGTGTAACACTCAACCAATTAAATGTTGTTGTGACCTAAATTAAAGATGACGTATTAGAATCAAATTATCTTTTGAGTTGGCTAAGTTTAATTTGATTATTGGGCAATAAAGAAATCTATCTGTTTTATAACCAACCAGGCTATAATACAGAGCAAATCATGTTTAATCCATCTTACAGAAGACAAGATATACAAAATAATAAAAAAAAAGACACCAAATCACCTCCAAAATAGGTGAGAACAATTAAGAACATCAGTCTACTGTATAAATAAATGTTATAATCTCTCTGTTTTATACCCCCTCTATAGAGTTTCCAAGTTTGGTAAATTCCGATTATTTCCTGAAACTATCACGTTAAGATCACGGTTGCGGGATTACCTGCAGGAGGGCACCTTTGTCTCCTCGGTCTTCTTGTTGCTTGTCCCCATCCTGTGAGCTTACTGTCTTCAAGTCCTCCCACTGATACGCTCTCATTCATTGGCTGCACCATTGACGGGCATACTGGAGCTTGGCTTGTGTTAGTGACCAGTCGTTTTCTTTTTGAGTTCCGTCGACCAGCCAATCCAGAACTCCAAGTGTAGTCTCCGGTTTTCATAAGCCCCCCAAACATTTGGATATCTTCAGTGACTTCATGCCTCGACAGAGAAGAGAGTCCAGGGAGAATATCCCTCTGGAAATCCCGCTTTGGTCTTCCTCGTCTTGCTTGTCCTCTTCTTGGCTTGTTAATACCTGTATCTTCGAATTTCAGATTCTCAGGGACTAATGGCTCTGGCATGTAGTCTTCTTCCTTTGTCTGCTGTATATTCAGGGTCATCGCTTCAAAGTAATCAATCTCCCCAGAAGAATAGTCTTCCCTGTAACCCTCAAAGTCTGTGGCTTCTGGAGAACCATCAACCTTTCTTTCTAACTCATCACCGCAAGAAGTGATTATTTCTGCAAACCAAGAGAGCGGGCTTTTTGCAGCCGCATCAGTCGAAGAGGAAGCTGCGTCATCAGGATGGCGTTGGTGACCAGACATTGAGATGGCAACTAATGCTTCTGCTGCTACCTTGATGAGTTCATTCATAGAGTTTCCGTCTTGGCCTTGCATCAATCCCCAAGTTTTTTCATTTGTTTTCTCCTGCGAGCCATCTCCTTCTTCTTCACTCTCGAGGGTAGGGGGAGCTTCCAAATCTATCCAAGTTCTTGCTTTTGTTTTCACACTCATACTGGAAAGCAAGCCGGAATCTTCGTCATCCTCATTAGCACATGAATTCAGATCAATGTAGTGTCTGAAGTTGGCAGCTTTTTTCCCTTCTTTCTTGTCTACATAATAGGCTTTAGCACCATGCTGGTCAACAGAAACCGAGGCATCACATGGCAAGTTGATATCGAGGTCTCGCTTTACCAAGTGATTTACTTCCTTGTGTTGATTAGCATTCCATAAGGAATGAGAGATAAGGGGCGTACGCTCCTGTTTGCAAACAAATTGCTTCCCAAAGATTGGGCCCCCAATAATTTTTGTACTACTCTGAGAGTTGCTCATTTCAACTCTTCCCATGTTTGCATTATTAGAGTATGAAGCAGATCGCAAACCCTTCAGAGCAGAAGCGCAAGTCAGGTCATCCCCTGCGTCAGTTCCATCCATGGATTGATTTGTCGAAGCATTCAAATCAAAGAAGCCATTGGACATTCCACTTTTGTAAGGGGGCTTAGGTTTTAGCCAGGGCAACCCAGCTGAGTATTCCTGCTTTTTTGGCCCTTGAAGACTTACAAAACTCTGGCTATTCGCTACCTCGCCTAAAGAAGCATTTGGTTTAAAGCCGGTTGATGGGAAATTAAAGAATGACTGCTTTGACCCTGAAGAGAATCCTTGATAAAGCCCATTAGAGACATGGCTTCTATTCTCAAAACTCGAATCTGGTCTTGCATGTGTGTCAAAATTCATGCAGGGATTTGTTTGAACTGGGTAAGATTTCTGATGTGAGCTGCTCATAGGGGTCTCCCAGGATGAAGACCAATGGGTCCATGGTCTGACAAAGTCAGGGCGGTAGTCGTTGAGTAATCTTAGAGCATTTGATGCCACACTTGATTCCACGTAGCTATCATAAGAAAAGTGAGGAGTCTTTGAGCGAACTTCTAGCTCACGATATGCTCTTTCCCCGGAGAATTTGACCTTGCTATGATCAGTTGTAAGATAGCTCTGAGGTTGAAATGCATTGTTAGAAAGTACTTGTCCTGAATGGGAAGGCAGATGCAGCTGATCTCTCTGAGTGCTCCTATCATGCCCTAATAACACAGCCACACAAAACATTTGAGAAATAGAAGATAGGCAAAAATGGTAACATATTACTGAATCAGCACAAAATTCAAAACCATTCTATGAGACGTATATGCACCATACATAGGAACCTATTGGGAAATATTTTCCGCTCATTAAATATTCTGAGTACTGAGTAGGAAAGACACTTAAAACTTGAGCCCTAGTTTCATATCATTTCAAAGATTATAGAGAAATCAAATGTAAGTCAAGAGCATGTAACTAGCCACTTATTAAAGAAAAAAGTCACCTGCTTGAAGGACCATCCATCCATTTTGACTTCGATATTTCTCCAACCACTGACCTTGAACATGAGCATTGTTTCTTCCATAATGAGAATACATATCCCTTGGCAGAGCAACAGGTTCTGAATCTTGCCATTTGAGTGGCTCATTCAAGTCAGCTAAGCCATTTGAGTTCTTCACATCCAAGCAAGAGCCTGAAGGATAGCTCCGATGAGAAGCATCCCATCTTCCTGATGTTGACTGGTTGTATGGAGGGAAGCTTGTATTCTCACCGGTATCACTAGTTTCATCAGTATCAAGATACTCATCGGCTGGGAGTTGAAGATCAATCATTCTTCTCCTGACCTTCACATCTCTAACCTCGAACGCATCCCCATTTTGCAAACGACCGTTGCAAGCTTGTGTGCTGCTTCCTTCTCCATATGTTGAGTTTGGTAAGAGAAATCCAGGTAACTTCCTCTTACCTGCATTTTCCGATGTATGATCACTCACGTTCATATCTTCATTCAAGCTCTGCCCTTTTACTTCATCGACCAAATTCCGCTGTACTCTATACAAACGGTGAAGCTCATGCACCTACATCGATACAAACAAATCAATATCAAGTAGACACGTAAATGAACCATTTAGAGTAATAATATAAGCATCAAGAATGTAGATACATTACCTGATTCTTAAAAACGGCTTCGTGCTCAAGCATTGTTTGTTTCATGAAATCTTTCTCGTATCCTGAGTATGATGATGAATCCGCCGCATCTCTCATTGCAAAACCCGTCTGATATCGCCGCCCATATCGCGAATTTGCATCTCCACAATACACTGACCAACTGCAAGTATAAAAAAACTTCACTGAGATCTCTCTTATAAACACCATTATACAACAACAACCACATAATTCATAAACACACGTGAAACAACATAAACCCATAAAAGCAAATTATGAGATGATCATAATATAGATTTATTTTGTCGTATCTAAAGGCAAGGTTCTGCAAATAGAGATCGAATCATCAATGATAAACCAGATTACACGCAAACTAATCCCAATATAAAACCAAAACCAATTACGAGAATTAACAAAACAACAAAAAGAATCGAATAAATTCACATTTATAATCAAAATCAAAATCAAAACCAGAAGCTAGATTCTGGATCAATTGACTTAAATGACTAACCTAATTTCATCAAACAATTAACACAAAAATTAAATCAAATCAACGAGAAGAATTATATATATAAAAAAAGAGAGACGAACCAATGAATAATTTAATACAGAAAAATAAAATATAAATATAAATCTGGTGATAGAGATATTACCTCAGACCCACATCTTCTGATCGCAATTTGAGCAGAGAAAAATCGGTGACAGATTATCGAAAATAATGAACAATAAATAAAAAAAGAAGAGAAGAATAAAAAGTGCTTCCTAGATTCACTCCAAATTTTTTATCAATAGAGAAAAAAATCTAAAGTAATAACAAAAAAAAAAAAAAAAAGAGAAGAGGGAGTGACAAATAATCAAAACTCCTCCATGGAAGAAGAAAGCTTAAGCCGTCTTCTCCGATCCGATGGGCCAACTCTCTCTCTCTCTATCTCTCTCTATTTGCTCTCCTTCTCTCTGGCTTTTCTATCTCTCAGATTCTTTAACGAATGAAGTAAATAAAAGAATAAGACCTTTTATATTGTTTTTTATTTTTTTATTATTAATTTTTCTAGGATTTGGTGTTTTTTTTTTCTTCTACTAAATAAATATAAAAATTTAATAGGCTTCTAATAACAGTGACATGATATTTTGTCAACACTCGGTCTTCTTTTCTGCTTTTTTTTTTTGTTTCCTTTTTTATTTCATCATCTAATCATTTCTATACATTTTTCTGTTTTCCTAAGCATGCATTTAAGTTGTTCCCTTATGATTTTTGAATTGGAGTAAATCTGTCATTAAGAGTTAAATATGGTATTAACAATTTTAATTTTTGAATACATTAGTTGAATTCCATGTATATACCTGCGAAAAAGTTGACTAAACTACAAGATAAGATAGTTGGACAATATATCACTGTATGCTCTGAATAATTATTTTAAAGTTTTAAATTGCAATAAGCATGATATTCAGAACTAAAATTTTTGAATATACTAGATAAAAATTTTATGAATGCAGGCGAAAATTGACTAAACTACAAGATAAGACACTTGGACATGGTTGTTTTGTAGTTTTAATTTACAATAATTATGGTATTAAAATTTTAAAATTTTGAATATATTAAGTGAAATTTTAAATTGCCCGCACGAAAGTTTACTAACGGGATAGTTAGACAGTATACCACCGTACTGTACGCATTGAATGATTGTTTTGAAGTTTTAAAATGTTGTAAATATGCAATTTAGAGTAGATGTGGTATTGAAAATTTGAATACACATTAGATGAAGTGATTACGCGCGAAAGTTAACGAAACTACGAGATAAGATTATCGAACAACATATATATATATATATAATTTTGCATATGTAAGGACTACACAGTGAATTGTTTTGTTAAAATAATATATATATATATATATATATATATATATCACAAGTGTTTTATTAATGTATGCATATATAATCAAATATTCTAAAATTTTCTTCTAAATTTTTTTATTTTCAATATCATTCCTTGCACCACGATCTTTTCACCTACCTTGATCTCTTAACAATCAAAATTGTATTGTCATACTACCATTTCTCACCGCTTTTATTTACCTATAACAATCATTATGTATCATGTAACAAATCATGTTGATATGTCAATTAAAAAACAAATGACATTTTAACGTAGGTTTAAATTTTTTGATGAAAATTATGAATTTGTAACTCTTTGTGTTTTAGAATTTTTTAATGAAAATGGTATAAATGTATTTTCTTACTAGTTTAGTTTAAAAAAGTTTTCTGTATACATGCATGTTTATATTTCTTAAAATGCTTAGTTTTTAACATAGGAGGATCACAACTTGCTTTTAAATGATCTTTTCCTTATTTTCTAGTTTATATTAATATTACATATCTAAATATCATTAGATATAGCAACATAAATGGAATTTTCTGATTGGTTTTGATTAAAAACAAATTTGCACACATATCATCTATGAAAATATACAGGTGTCAACATTTGAAATACACATTTTACTTTTGTTGTATGAGATATATATATTTTTTTTTTGTCATCCGTAATTAATTGTATGAGATATTTTATAATAAGTGTTTTAAATAGTTTTAATCAAAAAAAATTCTTATAAGTTTTTTCTACAATCTGGCAAAACTTTAATTATCAACACTAATCAAAAACTTACAAAAAGAGCTATTTTCTCAATTAAGTAGTAGGAAGAGTTATTTTCAAATACAAGCGTCTTAAAAGCTGGTCTACTCTCAAATTTCTTCAAAATTTTCTATTAGAGATTATTCAACAAATTTGCAATTTGGATAATTTTATCCATATACATCTTGACTAGTTCTCCAAACTTCTTCTAAACTCTATAATGTTTCTAGCATTTCCCATTAATTCACACTCTCTAATAACATAATATTGTAAGACAAAGTTAAGTGACAGTATTTTTTTTTTGTGCACCAAGTGACAATATAATTACATAAATTTATGTTTGCTTTGTTTGTTGCTTAAAATTTTGAATTTTGAAAAGTAAATATGTCATTCTTTGAAAAAAAAAACGGACATGGTTTGTTTTGTCTTTCCTCCTTTCATTTACTTCATTTCAAAAGTTTTAAATGGTCAAAAATATCAAGTTACTTTGTATATCCCGAAAATGATCAGTATATGTAATATTGTTTAAAGTTATAAACTCAGATGTTTAGAAATTAAAACCTTTGAAGAATTTTTTTTAACATAAAAAATAATTGGTTAAATATACAACTAAAATGTTGTTATTGTTTATGCTTAACCAAATTTTTTACAAATAATTTATTCTTTTTATTTTTGATTTATTTTACGTAAGAATTCACAAAAAAGTATATTTTTATTTAGCTCAAACAAACATTTCTTTTGACAGCCTAATATTTTTTTTATTTCTCCGTTAGATATATTTATTGCAAAAAACTAATACTGTAATGGTTAGCATCAGAAATTTACGTCTATAACTGGTCCAAATTCATCCACACTTTATAAAGACAATTCATTTTTGATTTTAAAAGCCAGAGATTATCTTTCTTTCAACCAGAAGCAGAAATATGATTTTTTGAAAAACCATTAGCCTATTATAGATAGATAGAAATAAAATAAAAGCTAAATGCATCCAATATTTTTAAAATTTCCTATTAAAACCAAAAATTCACCCAAAATTACAAATATGATAAAAACAATATAATGGTTAGTTTCTAAATTAAGCATAAATTGTTTATAAAGTTAGTTAGACCAAAAGCCATTGGTCCCACTCGTGAGCCAAGTTTGAGGTATTTTAGTTTAGGTTTGAGTGGGAATATAAGTACCCCTGGCTTTGTAGATAATTACGATTTCAGGATTATTGTTAGAAGAAATAAACTTTGGTTTCTGGTCGTCCCTGATTGGTTGATGAATATCCCAGAAATAAAAAATTCAATAAAAAAGGCTGTTTTGTGGAGATTATTTACATTAACTGCCACTATCCCAGAAAAGCCATTGGAGATGGCCTGAGACTCCCTGACATGTGACAGGTTTTAAGTGAAGGCACTGATATTAATGAGCGGACATAATCTAGAACGAAAAAACCCAAATCGACGACGCAGATTTCCAGGCTCAGATTCTCTCTGTAGGCTGTAAGCATCTTCGTATTCTTGTTAATTTTCCGTTTCCAAATCAATACAGTGTAACGATGATTGTAGAATGTTAATTTTGAATTTAAATGAATATTTACTGTATGATTAACTAAATGAATATTTACAACATTTACATTTCCAATTAGTAACCAGTTAAAGTAGTCAAAAAACAACTTGTAAGCTAATGGATAGACAAACATCATAAAACGTTTTCATGCCTGTAGTTGTTCAACCATAACACTGCAATGTTGTGTGATGAAATACTACTTAGTTATTCTGATTAGGCACAGGAGCATGCTAAGTTGAATAGGAGAAAATTTATTCTAGCGATAAGGTTTCATATCTGCCGTTTTCAAATTTAAGGCTTTTGTTGCCTTCAGATAGATTGTGTATACTTATTGTCAACAAAATTGTTTCAGAATACACAATGTATAAGGAAACGACAATCATGACTCCATCAATGAACTCATGTCTGTCTTAGTTATATCTTCTTTGTTTTGCATCAATGAGTGTGATTGAGGAGATTCTTTTGACAGTGAATTTTGATCGGTCTAATTGTCAAAAGTCTTTTGTCCAGCATAAGCTCTGAAAGACTTTTTAACATTTGTATATGGATGCTGGTCAGGTGAGGTTATCTCTGCTTGTTTGGATGAGAAGATCAGAGTCTAAGATACACGACGACAAGAAAAAGGGCTTTCGTTTTTGGCTGATGTTGGTGGAACAGTGGGATGCATAGCAGTATCTGGGTTTGAATTAGTTAGTATTATGCATCGAAGCAGCAATGCACATATATAATTTGTGTTACTTAGATCAACCGATTAGGTGATGTGGCTTTTGAAAGGAACTAGATTCACTTTTCAGATTCTGCTTAATCCCTGAAGATGTTTAATGCTGCTCTTGATAGCATGACATGCAGTTGGATCGTATTTGGGCGATTAGCATCAGTTTTTTTTCCAATACATCACGCTCAAGTGACATTAAGTAAGTCATGATTTGATCATATGGTAACTTGTCCCTTTTTTCTTCTCCCCCTCTCTCTCTACATATCACGTTTGGGAAGATGCACATTCCAGTGTAATCCAAAATCCAGAGACAGAGGACTTTATCATGCATATACTTCATGTTCTTGCCACACAAAGTACAAATGGAGCTTTGGTCATTGGTGACAATGAAGGTTATATTATAGAGTATGAGATGTTCAAAGTAGAAAAAGACACTCTTTTGAATCTTTGATTCAGCTTCCCAAATACCCAAAATAGCATCACCTCTTTGGTCTATAACCAAAACTGAAGATCTCTTCAGTGTTGCATCAAGCTACCAATTATCAAAAAAGCTAAAAAGAAAGTGAATTTTTTTTTTCCTCACTATACTTCATTCTTTTCATTTTCTTCACTCCAACAAGCCTCTCTATAAAACAAATTAGCAAGTAGATTTTCTTAAACACACAAAAAGAAATTATGTTGTATTCTGAAAAGTCTAATAACCTTATGTTAAATTAAATTAAATCTGGCCTTTAGTGTCAAAGAAAAGCTCCATTTTTATTTTTTATTTTTAAAAAAGGAAAAAAATATGAGGAATTAGACGCCGCAAGCTAAAGTGGGGCCGCGTGGAATGCACGCGAGAGATACAACAGAGAGAAAGGATAAATCTGGATAAAATCTAAACCGTTGAGAGATTCTAATCCAACGGCTGATAAATAGGATAATAATACAGTAACCCTAGAAAGGTCTCCTCCTCCTTCCTCTTCCCCTCCTATATAAAAAAATTGACATCACTTTTGCTCTCTTCCTCTCCCTTAGGTTTTTTTTTTCCTTCCTCTCAATCTCATCTTCTTCTTCATCGAAACCTTTCTTCTTCTCTCAATTTCTGGTGAAATCATGTCTGACGAAGAACACCACTTCGAGTCCAGCGAATCTGGAGCTTCCAAGACCTATCCTCAACAAGCTGGTAACATCCGTAAAGGTGGTCACATCGTCATCAAAAACCGTCCCTGCAAGGTCTGATTTCGTTTTCCTCGTTAAACATCGTTCTCGATCTCTTTTTCCTGATTCTAGATCTTCGTCTCTGTATAGGAGCTTCTTGATTTTGTTCTATCCTCGGTTTTTGATCTGGTTCTGTTTAGGTTGAATTATTGTTGTAGATCGCTTATTAGATGAATATGAGGAATCATCTTCTGCTATTTGATGGTTGCCTCTGTAGATTCGTGGAATTTTGCGAAATGAAAATGAAAAAATGGATAGGAATCGAGCAATATCAGACGGCGCTTTTTGTGATGTTGAATCTAAGTAGTCTAGTGAATGATGTGATCTAACAGCGATGGAGAACATAGATTTGATTTGATATTGATTTCGTTGGCCTTTTGTCGATTGTTAGGTTGTTGAAGTTTCGACTTCAAAGACTGGTAAGCACGGTCACGCCAAATGTCACTTTGTTGCCATTGATATCTTCACTGCTAAGAAGCTTGAAGATATTGTTCCATCTTCCCACAATTGTGATGTAAGTTTCCACAAAAACTAACTAGAGTCAATTTATTGTATTTGATGAGATGTGTGATCTGATTTGAAGATTGTTTCTTTTCTTTCAGGTTCCACATGTGAACCGTGTTGATTACCAGTTGATTGATATCACTGAGGATGGCTTTGTATGTCTTTCTTTGTATTCACTTTCCTCATCACTCCAGCTTTGTTTATCTACCCTGGCCATAACTTTTTTTACTTGTTTATATTATAGGTGAGCCTTTTGACTGACAGTGGTGGCACTAAGGATGATCTCAAGCTTCCCACCGATGATGCTCTCACCGCCCAGGTTATTTTCTTGTCTATTTATACACTCACATACGCAAATGTCTTGTAATCATATTTGGAATCGTGATATTGAAAACAATTGTGGTTTTTTTTTGTAAATGCAGATGAGGAGTGGATTTGATGAGGGTAAGGATGTTGTGGTGTCTGTCATGTCTTCCATGGGAGAGGAGCAGATCTGTGCCGTGAAGGAAGTTGGTGGTGGCAAGTAAACAAGTATCATTCGATATATTATTACCAGTTTGACAACAGACGTCAATGTTATAAGAACAAAAAGATGTTTTCTTTTTCCTAATTTAGACCCTTTGTGTGTGTTTCTTGTTGCAAGACAACCATATCTATTGGTTTTGGATTGTTGAAAAGTTTGTGTTGAAGCATTCGAAGTTTCCTATGAGATGTTATTCTTAAATCTCTTTTGCTTGTTCTGTGATTATGTATGTTCACGGATCTTGTTAGAACTTAGAAGCCACTTGCTGCCATCTGCACGATGTACATTGCTGTGCACGAGACAAGAGTTTAGCACACATTTTATTTAACAATAGCAGTCAGTGTAAGAATGGTGATTGATTACTTATGTAAACATATTACACAGGTTAATAACATTCAACATTTTAACTTGTTTTGACATTACACAATATCGTCCTCGCACAAAGTCTGGTAAATATGCAGAAACAATGAGATAGTATTAGCAAGAAGAGGTCAATGCTTCTTTGTTGAGGAACTGGAATTAGTGTGTCTGTCTACTTTGAGAATCTGATGATAGTACCAAACCAATCTTCAGGAACACTATCTCTCAAATCACCATTGAGTGCTCTCTGTGAATGAGTTGTCGCAGCCTGTTTAAGAGATTAAAAAGAAAAAGCATAATCGTGGTTAAAAGCTCCATCTTTTATCTAAGAGATAGTTAAATGCAAAAGATGTCTTTAATCTACCTTCACAATGTAGACATCGATTCCAAGTTTTGCAATCATAGCAGCTTCTGATATCTTTGTTTCCATTCCACCGGTTGTATCGTGCGCCGCAACAGAGTAATCAACTGTTTGATTCCAAAAATCAGACAGGTTTTAACTAAGCCCTCAGACTTATTGCAGTGCACAGTTTTACAATACTGGTTTTTACTTTTACCTTTCTTGTTTGTGTGCTCCAACACTGGATTCACAACCTTCCAGCTTCCATCTTCTCCAACAGCTGCATGAACCGTTAGGATTAGGCCAAGACTTTTAATAGAGATGAAAAAAGAAACAGTAAAGTTTGGAACTAACCGATCTCTTTCAAGAGCACAGCGTCAGGCTCTGAAGGTGGTCGATCGTAGACACCTAGTACATCTGTCTTTGTAAAGAGTTACTCAGATAACAAAGAATAAAGAATATATAGGAAAGAGGCAGAGAGAACACAAAATAAATTTCCGGTTTATACTATGAAAAGGATACGAGAAAGACAACGTATTCTGGCTTCAAATGATCTGCAAGATGACGGATGATAACATCACCACTCAATATGGTGCAGCCCTGTTCAGGACAAGATTTTTTAACTTTTTAAATTGTAAACGGAGAAGAATCTAGAGAGCTATTTGGTATCCCGGGAGAGCATATTACCAGTATATTGTCCAGCACTGCATCTCCATGGAGAACCTGGCCAGGACAAAAATTACAGTCAGAAGACTTTGGGAAACATCTACCTAATGCCACTGGTGGGATTCAAAACTCACAGGGACAAATCCTGAGTCTATTGTTTTAGCTACGGTTGATAGATCCGCAGAAGCCACCTAATGCAAAAAGCAGTCTCATTAGAATCTGAACATACATGCTTCAGATCAAGAAATATGTAAAATGAAAAAGAAGTTCAGTTGGCTCTTACATCTCTTTTGGAGGTTGACCAACCACATGAAAATGGAGACATGCCGATTGTAGGAATGCCCTCTGCAAGAAAGCATAACGTTTAGCTCAAAATTCATCTTTTACTTTTAGCCAGATGAGAAAAAGAGAACAAACTTAAGAAGTACCTCTGGCAAGTGCTCGTACAATTTCAAGATTAAGATTTGTGACCTGAAAAAAGAAGTGGAAACAATCAGAACAGCTCAAGACTAGCTTAAGTAACAGCACCAGATTTAGCTAACAGTCTCACAGATATACGAGTAGCAACGAAACCAGCTTTGACAATAGGTTTCTCAAGTCCTCCTTTGTGAACTCCAGATCTGCTGGCCTGAAAGTGCCCAAAGGAACCTAATGACACAGATTAGAACAACACACAATAAACCCAAAAACTAAATAACAGCTCAACAACACAAGCAGGTCAATAATCTTAAAGAACAGATAAAATGTGCTTTGATAATGAATCAATCTCCAACTAACCTGCGCCATGAACCACAACAAATTTGCTAAACTCAGAAGACTCTTGATCTCCTAAGTCATCCACATCACAAGAAATCTCAGAGCTTCCAGGTCTCTTGCTCCAATCCATTCCAATAACCTTGCTCGAAGCTGAACCCTCCATCATCGCCTGACGTAACTGACACGCAACGACCTCCAGATTCTCATCGTGAATCTTCTCCAGCTCGTTCTTGCAAGTAATCGCCGCACCTCCTATCAAATAATTTAGACATTTTGCTGTTACAAAGTCTAGACAGGTAAAAATTGATGGAAAATGAATAAAAGAGAGATCTTTAGAGTCTTCCTCCATTTTTGGGATTGAAAAATCAAATCAGAATCAAACCCATAAGACAGCACAACTAAAATGAATCAATCCAGCAAGGATTTGAATAGGGATCAAAAGACAAACCAAGTTTCACAATGCAACGAATTGATCTGCTTCGACCCTCAGAAATATTCAGCTCCATTGTTGTGTCTCTAAAGCTCTCGTCTTTAGTGGTCAACGGTGTTGTCACTCCCGCTCTAACTCAACTTCATCGTACTCGTTCCCTTCTTGCCATTTCCTTTCGCCGGAAAGATTCTCCATAGAAATATTCTTCTTGTTTTTTCCCCTAAAGAAGCCCATTAAGCTATTATTGGGCCTAACCAAATTTATTAATTACTCCAAACCGGATTTACGGTCAGTGTTTTAAGGTTTCAGTTAAATTAGCGGTTTACCTTCAAGTTCGTGATGGAGAAGAGAAGATTACCTCCGACAAAATCACGTTCACTTGTGCCACCGACAAAACTGGAAATCTTTCATTTTTTTTTCCTTTCAAAAAAATCATTCTCTAAACAAAATTATTGTAGGAACGAGATCTGTGCCAAGATTCGTATTTTCCACTTGAATGACCCAATTTGATTCCTGGGTTATTTGAAAGATCTTCTCTTTGCTTCGATTTCTATCTCCGCTGCTTGTGAAATCAAGATTTTTGGTATGTAATTTCGAACTTAGCTGAAACCCACTTCACTCTCAGAAAAAATGGAGACGGAAACGAATCAGGTTTTGCGGAAACCGGAGCTGAAATCATACAGTCACAAGCAATTTCACTCTTCAAATGCATTAGAGATCTTGAGAGAAACAGTTCGAATCCTCCGGTACAATCTTGGTGCTTTCATGATAACTACTGCTGTTTTGATCTGTCCTGTATCTGCTTTACTCTTACCAAATTTTTTAGTTGATCAATCACTAGTGAATAAACTCACACTGAAGCTTCTTTTAGTGGCAAAGTCAAGTGGTCTTCCTTTGCAGCCTTTTGTCAAACACTCTTGTCAGAAATTCGCTGAAACTGCTGTTTCGTCTGCAATGTGTTTCCCTTTGTTCATCACTGTGTCTCTATTGTCTAAAGCAGCTGTGATTTACTCAGTGGATTGCACTTACTCGAGGGAAATAGTTGATATTAGCAAGTTCTTGGGTACATTGCAGAAGATATGGAGAAGAGTTGTGTTCACTTACCTTTGGATTTGCATTCTGATTGTTGGTTGCTTCACTTTCTTCTGCGTTCTTCTTGTTGCAATCTGCAGTTCATTCTCTGTTCTCGGCTTTTCTCCAGATTTCAATGTTTATGGAGCCATGTTAGTTGGTTTAGCATTCTCTGTAGTTTTCGCCAACGCCATTATAATCTGCAACACGGCGATCGTGATCTCGGTTCTGGAAGATGTTTCAGGGTTAGGAGCAATGATGAGAGCTAGTGATTTGATCAAAGGGCACATTCAGGTTGGTTTGTTGATGTTCCTTGGGTCAACATTAGGATTGGCATTTGTGGAAGGATTGTTTGATCACAGAGTGAAGAAAGTGAGTTACGGAGATGGGTCTTCTAGGTTATGGGAAGGACCTCTTTTGGTGTTGATGTATTCCTTTGTGACACTTATCGATTCAATGATGAGTGCAGTGTTCTATTTTAGCTGTCGAGTTTATTATAGTATGGAAGCTTCTAGAGGTGAAACTCAACCAATCATGGAAACGGTTGCGGTTGTGGATGCTGAGTAATGGTTGTGTTGTGCGGATTAAACTCGGTGAATGGACATGGAAGCGTATTAGCTGAACAAGAAGTTGTATATTAAATGGGGTTTTATTGAACATTTTTTGTTTCACTTAAAAACTTGATGCATCTTTAATGTTTTGGTTATATATGGTTTCTGTATTTACATTTTTTTTGAAGATTATAGCATCCCAAGTTCGTTCCTAGTTCTGCACTTCTGCTCCTGTTTGTTATTGCCAGTTTGATTGTGTCTTGAAAATCTTGGGCGTAAATAGTAAGTTTAAAAAGTAGATGGGCTGTTATGCAATTTAATTATATTTCAAAGGACTTGAAATTAAAACCAAAAGTAATCGCAACCGGTTTAAAACCACCAAAGTATTATTCTTCTTCGTCTCCGTCGCCACTCGCCGTCACAACCACCGTAACATCGCTGTCACTAGAAGCATCACCGTCGTTCGGGCTTGACGTGTCTAGAACTATTTCATCACCTTACTCGTGAGTCAAATCCTCTCGGTCCTTTGCTGTTTTCTGTATCTCTAATTTTGGGGTTTATCGAGTTGGGTTTCTATATAGTTGAATGTATTCTTGATAGTATTTCGTCTGGAAACCAGTTTGGTTTTCATATTTCAAGTATAATTGCGTGATTTTTGTTCTCTCTTGGGGATGTTCACCACCTGTTCGATGAAATGCTTCTACGTATTAGTTCGATGCAATTTCTGTATAGCTTGTATTTAGATATTGATTGTTAGGTGACTCTAGATTTTGAAATGAACAACTCAAGATTCTGGAAACTTATTTTGGACTTAGTCCATCAAATAAGCGAGGCGATGGTTAGAGCTTAAGCTTGATATGTTTTGGTCCCGTTGCAGTAATGGAGGAGGGACGTCAAAAGGATTTGCAGTTGTTGGAGGAGATTATTGATAAAGGTTTAAAACAGAAGCTTGTACATGCAACTGCTTCACGGTATTGATATTAACTTTCTTTTCAGATCAAAATTTAGAGTGTATGTATGATGTTAAAGTGTATGTAGGATTAGGTTTGTTTGTTTTGTTTGCATGCCTTTTAAGGTTTATTCATTGTGGTCTCTTCATTTGTTGGTTTTGCAGGGACAAGATCTTTGAAGAACAAAAAGTACTGTATCCTTTTGTATAGGGAAGACTCTAGCTTCTCGAGATGTGCATCTTGGGGAGCTGATCCTTAATGTTTTGTTAGCTTCTCCCATGTCTTAGCCCCATCAAAGATGACGGATTCATATACCAGTCGGTTTTTGACTTAGTTTTGTGTTTCTGAAATCCAGAGGAACTCCTCTTGGTGTAGTTGTTGACAATGCTTTGCTGTTCTAGTGAACTCTGATTCGGTTGGAATATTCTTGTTTCCTTAACGGTTACTCCCACTCTAGCTCTGACTTGCGGAAAAACCTAGAAACTCTGGAGAAAAATGCTGTGAATAGTCTCAAAACAATGGTCAACCTTGGTTCTGAAGTTTACATGCAAGCTGAAGTGTAAGTCACTTATAACTGCGGATTAAAATTGGAGATGATTTCTACCAGATTTGCTTCTGACTTCGTGTACACCTGATTTGGGTGTCTGTATTTGAGTTCAGGCCAGATACTCAGCACATATTCATGGATGTAGGCCTCGGATTTTATGTGGAGTTCACTCGGCAAGAAGCTCTTGACTATATTGCACAAAAGGAGGAAAGAACTAAAAAGTAAGATAAATCTTTGCTTTTCTTGCTTCACATGCTACTTTTCTCAAAGCTTTCAAAATTCTATTTGCCTTAGATTGTTGGTTGCTTCTGGATGGATCCAAGGAAAACATGGTTGTATCATTGTATATGATGAATGAGTTGTCCAGTGGAATGCATTATAGTGACTGATTATTGATGCTATGTAAATGGTGGTATTTATGTTTACAGACAATTAGAAGAGTATACTGGTGTCATTACGCAGATCAAAGGGCGCATCAAACTGGTAAGTTCAAGTTCTTATCTTGCTTTGTGATAGTAGTCAATTTTTTGTCTGATGAGGTTGGATTAGACTAGAAAATCACTATGCATAGTAACTGTGCATTAGATGTGAAGTGTCATTGGGTAGTGATTATGTTTATTATCTTTGCAGGCTCATTACCAGATTCAGCAATTACTCAATCTTCCTGAAGAGAATCCGTCATCATCCCGGCAACGTACGTTTTAGTACAGTCTCTATTGAAAAACTGAGGATTTTCACCTAGCAGTCTTATCTTCTCGATTTGTTCTGCTTATTGTTTTGAGTTCTTAAAGCTTATGTCGTAGAAAAAAGAGAATTAACTTAGTGTAATACTACTAACTCTTTCTCTGGAATGGACCAAACTGTTCGTGTTAGACAAACAAATCGATTAAACAGATCAAACTTTAGAGAATGCCTATTGTTGTGTTGGATGAATCACTCTGTTAAATCTGTCATTTCTATTTTAAATTTTAATCAAGAATGATGTAAAAGTACGAACGAAACAGAGACGAGATAATATTCCACGTCATCAAAAGTGTCCAAATATCTTCCACTTCCTTCCCTGGCTTCGTCGGTCCTTTTTCACGGTTAGGCTCGGAGGAAAACCTAATTCGTCCGGAGCATCTCTACCTCTCTCTCGCAAAACCCATCTCTGTTGTAGGTAATTACGAATCTTGATTCGACGCTAATGGTTCTTGTTATTGTTATGCTTCTTGATCTGGGCATCTCTTCTTTGAGTCTTTTTTTGTGTAATTTCATCAAAAATTGGAAATTTAAGAACAAAATCCACTCCAATCGATCGAAAAACTTGAACGGGTTTCCTACGAATTTGCGTTTTAATTTGAGATCGAAAATTGCGTTTCTTGTTGTTGCTTTGTTAGCGCTTACGCATCAGGTCAGAGATCAAAGATTGATACAAGTTTATATTTTGTGTCAGCTTGTGATGGATCCAGCACAGAACACAAGTGCAGGGATTGGTGGGAGTGGAAGCAATGGTACGATTAGATATCAAACCAATGACGGGACTTCAACTGTTGCTGATGATTCAAAGGAGAATCTGAGCCAAGTCATAAACTCTATTGAAAAAACTTTGGGAGTCCTTCATCAGTTACACCTTACCGTCACTTCTTTCACACCCGCGTCTCAGCTCCATCTCCTCCAGCGCCTGTAATTAACTCCTCTTTTCTACTCATCAGTGTTTGTTCCAAAGATTATTGTTTGAATGAATGTGTGTGTATATTTGCAGTAACTCTCTTGTGATGGAGCTGGATAACATGACTAAGTTGTCTGAGAAATGCAACATTCAAGTCCCCATGGAAGTTCTTAAGTGAGAGCTAGGCCTTGTTGTTTCTTAGAATGCATTTGATGATAGACACCTTTACTTGCTTTCTTATGTTTGCATTTTGGTTTAGCTTGATTGATGATGGGAAGAACCCGGATGAGTTTACGAAAGATGTTCTTAATAGCTGCATAGCTAGAAATCAAGTTACAAAGGGCAAGACTGATGCTTTTAAGGTAACTCCTTTTCTACTGATTCTTTATTTGAGTATCTGATTTTTAAGGTGACTCTCTTAATCAACATTTTGTTATAAATAGGATTTGAGAAAACATATTTTGGAGGAGCTTGAACAGACTTTTCCTGATGAAGTCGATATGTATAGAGAAATCCGTGCTAGTTCTGCCGCTGTAAGTTGTTAACTTCTCTAGTCTATACATCTTCATGAAGTCAAGGTGATTAAATAGTTATCGTCAAATTCAGGAAGCGAAACGGCTGGCGCAATCGCAAAGTGTGTTACCAAATGGGGATGCAAAGGTCAAGAACGAGCTATAAGATCCCCAAGTTTTCCTACCTTGTAGAATAAAATGACTGAGTAGATGAATGTGGATGTACACAAACAATCCCTCATGGAATTTCTATAATATATGTTGGTTTTGTTCACTTGACTAAATATAGTATGAGAATCTCTGCTTGTTACCCCCATACTATATTTTTGTTCACTTGACTAAATATAGTATGAGAATCACTTGACCTCTTAGCCTCTGAGGTCTGTAGCTGGGGCAGTGTAAATGTTTCCATGAGACTATGAAAGTGTCCCACATAGCTTTCAATCTATGAACGGTTCGGTCACACGATTAAATGAAAAAATCTACGGTTTGGTTCGGTTTGGTTTGTCTCACCTACATTTTCATCGATTGCAGCATAGTTGAAATACACAGTAGCTGACACGTGCCAGATAAAACGCACCGCTTTGATTGTTTGTTTGTTCCTTCTTGTTCCCCGAGCAGAAAAAAAATCGAAGGAAGAAGAAGAGTTGTTTGATTTTCTGAGGAAACTGTTTGCTTCTAGATCCGATCCGATCCAAATCGAAAATCACCAGATTTTTTTGATCAGTCGAATTTTTGAGATCGAAACATTGAATTGAAGAAGATGAGCGACGTATTTGAAGGGTACGAGCGCCAATACTGCGAGCTCTCAACCAATCTCTCCAGAAAATGTCACTCTGCATCGGTTCTCTCCGACGGAGGTAAAATCTAGACGCTCTCGATTTCGGATCTTGAACGCGAGATCTTCGAATTTACCTGAGACATAGGATCTAATCTCATTGCTTGGATTAGATTAATAAGTGTTTCTGAATCTGAAAACCTAGTTAGCTCAAGATAGTTATTATGTAGCTGCATAGATTTATTACGTTGTTTCTCAATCTATGTCGATTACTGTTGTTCTGCATAGTATGTATATACCTAAGTGTCGAAAATTTTCTGTCTGATTTACCCGAATTTGGGGTGTATTTGGAAAGTAGCTTGTGGATGAGTGTTCTTTACTAATCGTTTTAGCTTGTTTACGATTTGACGAGTTCTGTAGCATCTGGGAATGTCATTGCTTGGATTGGTGATAAGTAGTTTTGTTAAGGGATCAAGACTGAATATGAGAACCTAATTATGTAGCTGCAGAAGTTTATTAAGTTGGTTTTTTCATTTTTTTCTTAGTGTATGTTTACCACTGTCTTTCTTGGAGTTTTTTTTATTATAAACATGCTCGTTTGCGGTGCCATAGAACCATATTAGAGGTTTGATTAGATATTGTTATGTGCGTTTGCAGAAGAGAAGAAGGGGAAGATTGCTGAGATTAAGTCTGGAATAGAAGAAGCTGATGTCTTGGTATTTGCATTTAACTTGCTTTAATGTTTATACCCTTGTGTTCTTCTTCTTTTTTTTTAAGATCAGTATATGCTTGTGTTTTTTTTTAGATCCGGAAAATGGATCTTGAGGCTAGAAGTTTGCAGCCGAGTGCTAAAGCTGTGTGTCTTTCTAAACTAAGAGAGTATAAATCTGATCTGAACCAATTGAAGAAGGAATTCAAACGAGTCTCGTCCGCAGATGCTAAGCAGTCTTCTCGTGAAGAATTGATGGAATCGGGAATTGCAGATCTGCATGCAGTAAGCTCCTAGCTCCTAACTCCTAAATAGAAACTCTAGTTTTCTCATTATCTTAGTTGTCTTAATTAACTCGCATCAGTTAAGCTTCTGTGTCCTGAGGGACCCTTCTTTATATTCATCTTTGCACAAACTTTTAGATGGCAGAGACATTTTTGCGATTTACATTATTGTCCTCATTTCAGGTATCTGCTGACCAAAGAGGAAGATTGGCAATGTCAGTGGAGAGGCTTGACCAATCCAGCGACCGAATCAGGGAGAGTAGAAGACTAATGCTGGAGACAGAAGAGGTTGGCATCTCAATTGTCCAAGATTTGAGTCAGCAACGACAAACCCTCCTTCATGCGCACAACAAGGTACCACAATTACTAGGGTTGCTTTTGGTATCTATCAGTGACAATGATTTGCTTGAATTTGATCATTGAGAAGCTAAATTTTCTGATTTTGGGTCACAGCTTCATGGTGTGGATGACGCCATTGACAAGAGCAAGAAGGTGTTGACGGCTATGTCAAGAAGAATGACAAGGAACAAGTGGATTGTTACTTCGGTAATCGTGGCTCTCATTCTCGCCATCATTTTGATCATCTCATACAAACTTTCTCATTAATATACTAAAAAAACATAATTCATCGTGATTGTGTGTATATATGATGGTTGATTCCTTTGTAATGGCCCAAGTGTTTACTTGTATTTCAAGTACGATGTGTGTATTGAAGTGGCAACACTTTAACATTCATAATTAAGATTTCCCAAGTCTTTACATGCTCGTAGTCAAAGATCTGTACTTGGTTGAGAAATTAGGACAAAGATATATACTCTTTGGTTAAGAAATCAGGACACCTGACAGATCCTTGCCGGACCAATCATCTTGCCGTGACCACCAATCGTAGGCAGGAGACCCACTGTCACGTCATCGCATGAAACTTCAACGAACTCGGACGACCGAAATAGCGATTTTACAAGGATAGTCAGCTTCACATCGAACTCTGTAAAATCATAAGTGGCCAAGTCATCGCCGATTCCTCTGGCAGTAGTTCCAGGCGTGAGATGGACGGTGACACTGATCTGTCTTGTCTCTCTTGCTGGATGAACAAAGCCCGGGGACATGGTCGAGGCCAGATGGTCCTTGTCATGGTAAACTGAACAGTTAACGTCGTGGTAGAAGAAATCAGTCACCAAGTTTGGGTTTAGGACTTGAAACTGCATATTCAAGTAGCCGGAAATATGATCTCCGGTGGAGTTGAACTTCGTCACGGTGAGGGAAGAGAGACTGACCTTAGGTAAATCCGGTGGGTAGAAGAAGATCAGGAGGATTATGGCCAAGAGAATCGATCCGAGGAAGACACAACAAGCCGCCATTAAATTGAACAGAAAACTTTTGAAAGAAAGAAACAAGAAGAGATGTGAGTGTGATGTGTCATGACTAAAGAATGGAGCTATCTATTTATCTAGCATTTAATAAATCGATTGATCCATAAGAGTAAACAACCCCTATCGTAGTATCTCAGCTCTCTCTAAAGGTTCTTTAATATGAAGGAATTTCCAAGAAACAGAGAATAGAGAGGAAAGAAGTTTAGGTTAGATATTAACAGTAAAACCAACAGATTAAGTAAATAACTCGCATGTGACTATGTGAGTAAGGGACCCATCGCAGTGTGTCAAATGATAATTGAAGAGGTTTACTTACAAAAAGATTATTATACATTGAATTTAGGTGAAATATACACATTGCATTACCATTTTTAGAGAGCTACTAGTAGATCTTTAGACGTAGAAAACTCTAGTATAGTTCAGACTTGGGATTTTAGTTATAATTTTAGGTTAAACTTTTAAATTGTCGGCTATACGTAAAATAAAATCAGTGTGAGAAGTAGCCAAAGCCAAACAAGAAACTAAATAATTGAGTCAAAAAGATGGAAGAACTTTTGACTCACACATAAGTTCGCACCAGAAACGGTGAAGCAGCTGAAGTAGAGGTCTTTTTGTTGGAGATTTTGAAGGTAGAGAGGGCTTTGTTAATCCTTTCATATATCTGAAACGAGATAACCAGAAACATAGTGAGGAGTAGCCGCCAACTTATGAACGACTTCAGAATGCGATGCTATTAGTTAGATTTGAGAATGGTATGTGGCTTGGATGTAATTCATTAATGACAAAATGATTTGAGTACGAAGTAAGTATGATTAGAGAACATCAAAATATCAAAGAAATATGTATTTTTATTAGAGAACATCAAAATATCCGGCCCGACCAGCTTAACCTAATCCGGTTCAAAACTTTGGTCTAATTAAACGATTTCAAGAGAGAGTTATACTAATGAATAGATGGGGATGAACATGGATAATATGTAAAGATTGTGAAAACTACATTATTCAATTTTTGTTTGTCATCAAAAACTATATTATTCATAGAAATGTTTATTTTTACAAAGTATTATTATACTAAACACTTTATTATTACTAGCACATTGAAAAGAAGCTAAAAAGACGTCAGCAGTCTATAAGATGGATAGCTTCATCTCCAAGGTATATAAACCCATTCGTGTCAATAACTGTCACAAGTCACACCTTATAATTTCAAAAAGAATTTTAAGCTTGGTCTTCTTGTGTTATCATTTTGATTCTTGTGCTAAGATTCTTCACGAAGATCAACGGCTCTGAAAAGCAGAGGAAAGATAACTTTATTGGATAGAAATGGTGATAGGAGAGGTCGAAAATCTGGCTTTAGATTTTGACACGATAAAGTTTCTGTAAAAAAGTGAAAAAAAGAAAAAGAAAAATACTAATCAGTAACATTAAATCAAAACTATTCACCATCAATATCCCACCTCGAGAGATTCAAGACGTAGAAGAAGGAGACAAACGTGAACGTCTTTAAATTATGAAACCTCTCTCATAAAGTTCTCACCTGTATTGAGGTTTTCTCTCTTGAGGTGTTCAACAATGGCGGATCAATCTCTTCTACACTCTCCGATCAAACCACATTTCTTCAAGCCTCTTCTTCAAGGCTTTCGCACTCACCTCGTACTCTGTTCTACTCTGTTTTCTTATATCTCAGAGCATGTTATCGCTAAACATAGTTCATTTGTTTAGATTTTGTTTGCATGTTTGTTGCAGAACATTCCTGTTGCTTTCTTCTCGAAGCATGTTGAAGGAAAAAACGATCAAAACAAGATTGCGAAACTGAGATCAGACGCGTCAGAGAAAACTTGGTTAGTGAAGATGGACGGTTTGAATTTAACCGACGGGTGGGAAGATTTTGCCTTTGCACATGATCTCCGAATTGGTGACATTGTCATTTTCAGACATGAAGGAGAAATGGTGTTTCATGTCACAGCTTTAGGACCAAGTTGTTGTGAGATTCAATATTATACATCATCTCACAACAGCAATGATGATGATCGTAATGATCAGACCAATATTGGTAAGCTTTTGCTCTATGAAATGTTCTTAAACTCTCTAGACAATAAGAAAAACTGAGGTTCTTGATTTTTTTTCAGCTTCAAGAAACAGTGAAAGAGTGAAGAAGAATCCCAGAAAGAAAGTAGAGTCTTCTTTAGACCATTCTCGTTTTGTGGCAAAAGTCTCAGCTTGGGGCCTAAGAAATGATCGACTGGTCAGATTAGATTCCTACAATTTAACCAAAATATCTCTTTCTTAGTCTTTGAGACATTAACCTAACTTTGTAATGGGATTTTGCAGTATATACCACTAAGTTTCGCGAGGTCAAACGGTCTGAACAAAATCAACAGTAAGAAAATCTATCTTTACAACGAAGCAGGAAGATCATGGAAGTTAGATTTGAAACACGACAAATCAGGCATGCATACTTATATCCAATCCGGTTGGAGAAGTTTCTGCGCTGCAAATGGGATTAGGCAAGGCCAATATACATTCAAACTTGTCCGAAAATCGGCACCATCTCTCATCCGTTTGTGCCGCGAAAAAGCTAAACCAAAACAAAGATCAGTTGCAGAATCTTCATCAGACCAATCTTGTTTTGAGGGATCTGTCAGTCCTTCAAGCCTAAGAAATAATCAACTGGTGAATACAAATTTTGGTCTTTAAGCATAATATTGGAACTTATAAGTGGTTTTTCATGATTTGTTTATTGATATGCAAAGTGTGTCTTTATATGTGTTTAATGTGGTTTTTTTGCAGTTTCTTCCAAGGAGCTTCGTGAGCTCAAATAGTCTGGAGAAAAGATGCAGTGAGATAGTTTTAAAGAATGAACAGGGAATAAAATGGCCTTCAGTTTTGAAACATTACAAAACAGTCACTTATCTTACAAAAGGCTGGACTAGTTTCTGTCAAGTAAACAGGATCAAAGCTGGAGATTCCTACAAGTTTAAACTGGTTGGAACCTGGACGAAACCTGTTCTTTCTTTGTGTCCTACAAATTCTAATCATGACAAAACTCCATTAGAGTGTCCCAATGATGTCAAGACCCTCTCATCAAATCCTAGAAGCGGAGATGACAGTAGCAAATCTAAAGAAATTGAAGAGGAGAATATTGAAGACAAGAATATCTCAAAGACATGCTTGGAGATAAAGAAAAGGAAGTATTGGTCAAGATGCAGAGCTTCTGTAGAAAACATGGATGATGATCAGACCAACATCGGTAAACTATTGCTCTATGAAATGTACTCAAATTCTGTAGAAAATATGCAAAACTGAGAATTTTGATTGTTTTTATTCACAGGAAACAGTTCAAGAAAGAACGTAGAGTCTTCATCATACCATTCTAGTTTTGAGGGATCAGTCAATCCTTCAAGCCTATACAAAGATCAACTGGTGAATACAAACTTTGGTTTTTATGCTACTCACACTATGTTTTTCACTACACTCATTGCTGAAAGAAGGATCATTGGAACTTAAAAGTGTTTTTTTTTTCTTGATTTGTTTATTCATATGCAAAGGGTGTCTTTCTTTGTGCATAATGTGGCGTTTTTGCAGTATCTTCCAAGGAACTTTGTGAGCTCAAATGGTTTGGACAAAAGATGCAGTGAGATAGTTTTAAAGAATGAAAGGGGAGAAAAAAGGACTTTAGTTTTGAAACACTTCAAACAAAACCTTACTTTTCTCAAAAAAGGCTGGACCAGTTTCTGTCAAGTTAACAGGATCAAAGCTGGAGATTCCTTCAAGTTTAAACTGGTTGGAACCTGGAATAAACCTGTTCTTACTTTGTGCCCTACAGTATCCAACCATCACAAAACCCCATTAGAGTGTTCAGAAGGTAACAAATCCGAAGAAAATGAAGAGGAGGATATTAAAGACAAGAATACCTCTCAGGATTGCTTGGAGGTAAAGAAAAGGAAGTATTGGTCAAAATGCAGAGCCTCTGCAGAGAACATGGATGATGATCAAACCAACATTGGTAAATTTTTGCTCTATGAAATGTACTCAAATTCTGTAGAAAAGATACAAAACTGAGAATTTTGATTGTTTTTATTTACAGGAAGCAGTTCAAGAAAGAAGAGAGTGAAGAAAAATCCAATAAAGAAAGCAGACTCTTCATCAGACCATTCTAGTTTTGTGGCTAATGTCACAGCTTCAAGCCTAAACTGTGATAGACTGGTAAGATTAGAATCCACATTTTAAGCAAAAGGTCTCTTAGTATTGGTTTAAATTTGTTAGTCTGCGATGGTATTTTGCAGTATTTACCACTAGGTTTCGCGAGGTCAAACGGTCTAGACAAAATGAGCGGTAAGAAGGTTGTTCTTCTTAACGAAGAAGGACGAACATGGAAGTTAAATTTGAAATACAACAAAGCAGGCAACCAGACTTATGTCAGACCTGGTTGGAAAAGATTCTGTGATGCAAATGGGATGAGTCAAGATCAACAATTTACATTCAAACTGGTCCAAAAACATGGACCACCTGTCATGCGTTTGTACCTTGCAGAACATAGACCAAAATCAGAATCTTCATCGCACGGTTCCTATTTGGTGGGATCTGTCACTGCTTCAAGCATAAACAAAGATAAGCTGGTGAATACAAAAATTTGGTTTATTTCTGTATCTTAAACTCACACATTCCTTGCTAACAAAAGGATCATTGGAACATTTTCTTGATTTGTATATTGTTATACGAAGAGTGTCTGACTCGTGTACATGATGTGTCGTTTTGAAGTATTTAAGGAAGAGTTTTGTGAGCTCAAATGGTCTGGACAAAGGATGCAAGAAGATAGTTTTAAAGAACGAATGGGGAAGAGAATGGAATTTAGTCTTCAGACACTACAAATCACACTGCTTTACTATTATCAAACGAGGCTGGGCCAGTTTCTGCCAAGGCAACGGATTAAAAGCTGGAGATTCCTTCAAGTTTAAACTGGTTGGAACAGGGGAAAAGCCTGTTCTTTCTTTGTGCCCTGCAGAATCCAGTTGTGAGTGTCCAGATGGTAGTGATGATGTAAAGTCCCTCTCCTCAAATTCTAGCAGCGGAGATGACAGTAGCAGATCCGAAGAAGTTGAAGAGGAGAGTATGGAAGACAAGAACATCTCACAGGATTGCTTGGAGATCAAGAAAAGGAAGTATTGCTGTTCATCTTCATATAGTCAAAACCGATTTGTGACATTAACTCTTACACTGTCCGCTTTTCAAACCTACAAACTGGTAAGCTTCTTCAACATCTATGCCTCAAGGTTGTCTATTAGTATATTATTTTTCCTCATAATCCAATCTTTTCGCAGTATCTTCCGCGCGGTTTCACGCAGGTGAATGGCATCAACAAGCCAAGGAAGATAACTCTGCTGGGTCAAGATGGAGTAAAACGGGTGGTGGATCTCTATCAGGATAAAATAAGCGGAACAATGAGATTTGGCAAAGGCTGGAGAGAGTCCTGTGAAGCTCAAGGCGTGAAGATAGACGAGTCCTTTGTGTTGGAACTCATTTGGGAGAAAGAAGCAAGTCCGGTACTTAAGTTCTGCACCAAATTAAACTCTGCTTGAGACTGTTTCCAGAGAAGTAGCTTGTGGAGGTGTGTCTCAACACATTATCTCATTCGCTCGATATCTATAGCTTTACAATGTTTTCCTTATGGGTCAAGAGTTGTCAGCTAGTTGACTAGATGTCTACACATCTGAGCCTTGTTTAAGAGTTCAAGAAAATGTTTCAACTGACTACTTGTGTGTTGTGAACATTTTGAGAATTTGTAATGTCTTCTTCAATATGGGCTCCATTATCTAGTTAAAGATTTTCTTGTCTTGATTGTGTCTGAGTGTATACAACAACAATACACGAAATCACCAGCTCCCAAACACACCTTCTTTCCCAAAATGTTCTAACACTTGAACATAAAAGACAAAATGACACAGTTCTGATTCGGGTAAGAATCACGTCACGTCGGGCACGCTTCACTAAAAAATTGAAATGGCTATGAGTTATGACTTTCTTTTTGAGTGAGAATCTTCATTATTATTTTTGTGTAGTCAAAAACTCTGTTTCAGTTGGAGTCACTTCATATCTTAGTCTACTTCTTTCTTGTGACTCTTATAACTCTTATAAACTTTTCTTCCAAGGGAAAGACCAATGAGAGTAAGTTCACAACCTGATAGAGGTCAAACAACCAGATACAAACTCGGAATAGCAGAGAGAAGAGCAGACAACGCTCACCTGCAATCCGACTTTTCCGATTCGATCAGGGAAGCCAGCCACGGAAGACAACCTCTAGCAATGTACAATTTGCTACCTGCCATCTCGTGTAACGCTTCATGAAATTTCAAAGGCCTACCCGATTGACTCCGCAATGAATAGGTTCCGCACGCCAAGAACTGAAATGAGACAAAGCCTTGACCTGATCTGGTATATTGGCCATCTATAATGTTCACTAATGCATTCTTGCATGGTGATGTATAGGCTTTTTTGCCTTGAGGGTATTACACAATTTAAGAGGAGTCATCGCCCGACAATTGTTGCATGTCGATCAAAGAACAAGCTTTGAAACAATGGATCTCAGGTTTTTTAGCTTCATTTCCTGTTTTTTTTTTCCTTATTTTGCTTGAATCAAACATGCAGATTCTTAAGCTTAGTTTGCTTGAATAAAAAAACTCTACTATATTGTGTGACTAAGCCTATGTCATGTTTTTTAAATATAATCTATAAACTGAATTCCCAGTGTGCTTTCTGCTGACAGAAAAAAGGGCAATACTTTCACATTCATTTAATCTCCAGTTTCGAGAGTACATATTCAAAGGCAAAGATCTAAAATGTACAAAACTCAGGGGGAATAGAAGATTCCGTGAGTTGGGAAAAGAAAAGAGTGGGATTGTTTCATCTAACCATCTTAGATGACTTTCTTCTTCTCGAAAAACGTCTTCAAATGCAAAAACTGCATTCCCGCGACTCCTAAGCATACGAAAAGAGAGAGGAAACCCAACCACGCCATTTTCGAGTTTGTAGCCCGGTTCAGATTTTGCATCTCTTCTTCCCTGAGGAAGACAAAACTCATCACAAACAATACAAGCACAAGTCCACATGTTTCAAGGAATGAAAAGTTAGATATTGGAGAGCCTATAGAAGAACCAACGGAAAGACTAAAAAAATCAATCTTTCTTTACCTTTCTCTGAGATAAAACATCTCTTCATGAATAGAGTTGACGGTTTCAATCAGTCTTTTTACATCAAACTCCATAACCTTTATACAAACAAACACAACACAGAAGCATAAGAGTCTAGTTCAATCATCAAAGAAGCATGGAGATAAGATCATAAGAATAACATCAAACACAAAAGCTACCAGAGTTATCAATCTCAACCAAAATCTTTCCCAATTCATTTGTATTCTGAGACTCTTTCTACAACAAATCCCAAAGAAGTAACCTTTAACATATCTTTATCTAATTGAGCAACTACCAAACTCACACAAGACTATGAGTTTTTGCCAACAATATGATGTAAAACATTCAAACCCTTCTTAGTCACACTACTCCATAACCTTGGTACAAACAAACACAATACAGAAAGAAGCATGGAAAAATCTAGCTTTATCATCAAAGAGGCATGGATATGAGAATAACATCAATATTGTTCGACACAAAAGCTAGTCTTAAAACCAGAGTTATCGATCAAAAACAAACCTTTCATACAAATTAGCTTTTATACAACAAATCCTAAAGAAGTAACATCCAATTTCAGAGCAATTTGCTTAATCTAATTGATCAAACAATAGGATGAATCAAACTTCAAAGCATTAAAACTCACTTCGACTTGGCTCTTCTTAGCTACACTACTCCAACTCTTAGATTGAACACCAGTTCTCCAATCAAAATCAATACTCAATGTAACCTCAGGTTTATGATCAACGGCAGTGAAACAAGCCATGTAATCTCCAGCCTCCACCGCCGTGAACGCGAATTGTCCCGATTCAACACCTTCCGCGTGATGATACGTGTTACCGTAACTCGATGTCACCTGTGTAAATTCACGTTTCAAATCAACAAATCAAAAATTATGAAATTTCGGATTTTTGAGAGAGTACTCTGATAGAGATCTTGTGAGATGGAGGAGAAGGATGAGCTTCGTTAGGGTTAACGACGGTGTATTTCCCGACGGTCATTGAATTGCTTTTGATGTCTTCGGAGATACATTTTGTTCGACCAGATTGCAATTCGAAGTGGAGAGATTGAGAAACTTGTGATGCAATCGCTAGGAAGAGTAGTATCGTGCAGAGATTTAGTGATTGGAGAACCATGGACGTAAGAGCAACAACAATGGTTGAATCCTTCAAAGGATCCTTAAACATATTTTAATCTTACTTTATGAAAATTTTAAAGTTAAGAATTTTTGATGAACTTTTAAAATTTTTTTTGTCCAATGGTGAATCTTTAAGTAGGTTTCTTAAAAAACAAAAAAGAAAAAAAATTTAAAATTATAAACATTTTTATTTGATACTGATCATATTGTTGCAAGAAGAAAACAAAACAAATTAAAAGTACATTCATTTTCTTCCCAAGAATCTCCTCTTATGCGTTATACCACCTGTAATCAGCATGACATGTTGGTGGATCAGCAGACTAGCTTGATAAATGATGTGTACAAATTCCATGGATATGGAGAATTTTAATAAAGGAAGTAAAAAGCAACGCCATATACTTCTTCAACATAATCTTCACTGGTCAACAATGCAGCTTCAGCCTCTCCAAGAAGATCCAACTTAAAGGATGAGAATGCAAATAAATACCGAGACCGAGTCATTTTTGAACTTTCAATTTACAAATGTAAAACAAGTTTAGATTTTCCAAATAGAACAAGATATGAAATGTTCACATATAAGACAGTAAGGAAGAATGTAGGGGTACCTTTGAGGATATAATATGCACTATAAGTTTGACTGTTACTCAAGTAATACCTAGCTAACAATTTGATCACCAGTCTCACAGGATATAATATGCACTATAAGCTTGACTGTTACTCAAGTAATACCTAGCTAACAATTTGATCACCTGCATAAATGAAAGTAGTTGATCACCAGTCTCACAGGAATGTGAAAATTCCAGTAACGGTTTCAATCGGAATCGACATTAGTAATACATCAAACAAAATCTCAATTAACTCAAATATGAATTAAATTGCAATCTAGAAAGAAAATCCCAAAATCATCAACAATTTCAGTCAAATTGAATTTCTGAGAAATCATTAATCGAAACAGAGTTTGATCCTCAAACACAAAGCCCAGAATTGAACTCCGCATGAACCGAGAATTGTCTATTCACAAACAAAAGACAGCTATAAGAACGGATCAGACCACAAGAGCAACAAAAACTGAGAAAACCAAAACAAAGTCAATCCTCATCTGAAAAATGATATGGAGAACTTTCAATACACGAATCAAGATCAAATACAAAACTTTAATCTCAGAGAGAACGTACTGTGAGGAAGTGATTGGAGCCACTGGAATCGCCTTTCTCTCCGGTTTGATTTGCAGAACCCACTGATTAGGTCAACGAACTTCTGTTGGTGACCACGCCGACGGTGGAGATGAGCATCACGGCTTATTGTTTACAACGTTGCTTTGCCTTTTACTTCCGATTTGATGATGTACATCGCCGGAATTGAAGCTCAACACGATTCGCCATCAGACAAAACAAAGAGAAGAGAGAGAGGGTCGAGAAAAACAGAATCGCGAAAGAAAAAAAAAAAATTTGTTTTCTCACTTTTCGTCCCAATGATAAGGCGACACGTAGCGCCTCTTAGAGCAACAAAAAAAACCTTAAATTAGAAACGTTTTTTGGGTTTTATTTCTGTTTTGATTTAAATTTGGGCCTTTTAATGCAAGAAACTATGGGTTAGAACCCTTTAAGAGCTACCATTGCTGTTGCTCTAACAATGGTGGAGAAAGTAAGCTTATGACACGTGTTTAATTGTAACTGGTGAAGACACGACGAAGAAGACTTGTTAAAACCCTCTCTTTTGTCTAGAGTTTCCGTAAGGCTGACTTTGACTTTTAGCAATCAAATATATATAGAGTTTTAAGGTTTTTTTATTTATTGTTTCACATGCAAAGCTAAATTCTACTTACGTGTGTCTGATTATTGGATTCCAAAATTATAAGTTTAAGTCTAGTTGGCATTTTAAAAAAAGCCTAGAAGGATGATGTCAAAAAAAAAAAAAAATCTTATGTGTTGACATATATAAACATTTAATTGCTTTATGACTTTGATTTACTGATCATCAGATAAATTTCTCTTCCACTAGTTCAAATTAATGATTTTGATGGACTTTCCTTCGGCTTTTGTTTATTTTTTGTGATCTCTAATCAAACAGTACAAAAGTACAAAATGGCACATTGGCACCATACAATTCTTATTGGCTTGTCGGGGTTGACTTTAATAATAATGCGAAGTTTACTCCATAATGTTCGGTTTGCAACTTTTATCAAATTACGTGATAAGTCAATTCAACTAGATTATCACCTATTGATCACCTAGTGGCACGTATATATTCTTTGTTTTTTCACTAGTAGCACGTATTTTTCATATAATCTGACATTATCGTATGCATCGTTATAACATTTTATATTTGGTTAACAAGAAGTTCAGAAAAAAAAAAAAAAATTTGTGGTGATCATCGGGTTGTCTAAAAATATTTATTATACGTGCTAGTTGGCCATAGACATGAAAAACAATATAGCATGTGAGAAGGACCAACGATGTCCTAACAGAAGCAAAGATCATATATCATATCGTACAAAACTTTAACTTATGATGAATTAATGATAACATTAACATATGAAATAAATCGTTTTAAAAATACCAAAAGTTTTGTCACGTTACCCGATAGTACACGAAGCCGCAACAACATTACAACTTCACATTTAATAGAGTTACAACCTTTTACACTTTTGGAAGCCAATAAACTGTTGTACCACCAAATGTGTAGGCATATTCGGATGTGTTTCTTTCCTATCAAGAATATCGTAAAATAGTTAATCCATTCTTCCAATGACACACCATACAACAACAACAACAACAACAACAAAATACTTAGAAAGTAGAAACGCTAATTTTATTATCACTATTTGTTTTTAATCATTTGTTATTCCTGATTTATTAATAAATGGTCTGTCTTTACACATGCATTTATCCAGTGATTTCCAATTAGATTCCTCAAGATCCTATAACTGTGCTGTCAGTCCACATCTTGTTTTTAATTAACTGAACCAAATCTTCATTATATAATTAACCAGAGTCGTAGGAGGTGATGCAAACTCTTAATTAAGAATACTTATATCTAATATTAATCAAATATATTTTTAGAATAATTAAGATATATTTACATATATGCATGTATATATCGTTATTAACTTACGACTATAATGTTAAAGAAAAAAAAATGTTTTATAAAAATGGAAGAAAAATTCTGATAATTGCATTAGAGAGAGACACTTGAGCCAACATTTGCATTAAAAAGACTTCCCTTCTCTCTATGCAAACAAGACGGCTCAGCTCGCTTGCTCCTCTCTTCCCGTATGTAAGTTCTCGCATTTTTTTTGTCATTTGTTTGATTTGTTTTCTTCTTTTTCGTTGAATGTTTAATCTTGTATTTAGGATCAATTATTCATATAGATCGTATATGTAAAGCCAGTTCGTTTTGGATCCAATTTTTCGTTTGGTTCACAATTTTTTTTTTTAGTTTGATAAAGGTTTGGTTCACAATTTTTTTTTTTAGTTTGATAAAGGTTTGGTTCACAATATCCAAGCTTAAGAAATTTGAATGGTTTTGAAGTTTTAAATCAGAAATCACAATGCGAAGATTTGAAGGTTCATGTTTACGAATGGGGATCCAAATCGAGATTTGTGTTTATCTGGTTATATTGTTATATTAAGATTTGAATCCTGTGAAATGGAGGGAAATAGTATTTTTATATTTTCTATATTTTCAATTATATTTTATTAATGAAAGTTTGTATCTATACGACTATACTATTGTTTAAGAAAACTCGAAACAGAAAATTATCCACTCTTTTAAAATTATCTGATTTTTCATTTCATATATATTTACAAAAAAATATCTTATTTTTCAATTGAATTGGTTACTGCATTTAAATATCTGTTTCGGACGTTTTAGATGATAGAGGGAGTTTTTCTTGGAAGATGCAAAGGACTTAATTAGCTCTGGTGATAGGCACTGAGATAAAGTCAACGGTGTGTCATTAGCTTGTAAAATTTTGGCATGAGAAGAGTTTTAAAGTTTCTCGATACGACCTTGAACCTCGGAGCTAATTTGGTTTCTTGCACGCGAAGAAAGAAACATCTGAAAGATTGTTCGTAAAGAATTCGGTTGCAGAAATGAGAGAAGAAACAGAACCAAGCGAAAGAACGTTGGGGTTAACACCAACTTGGTCCGTTGCTACAGTGTTGACTGTCTTTGTATTTGTTTCTTTGATCGTTGAACGTTCCATTCATCGGCTTAGTAACGTAAGTATAAATCTTTATATTTGCATTTTTTAGTCATTCTATAATTTGGAAAGAGTTATAGCATTAACTTAGTAGACTTCCTTTATTTTTCTTTTGATCTTCCCAGTAATCAAATGTCAAATGGTTGAAGTTTTCTCTATTAATTGATAGAGCAATATTTTGGGTTTTGTTTTGGCACAGTGGTTGCAAGAGACGAAGAGAAAACCTTTGTTTGCTGCATTGGAGAAAATGAAAGAAGGTTGGTGGATTAACATGCAATTCTAATGATATGTTTTATAATATTTTATCCTAAAATTGGATCTTGAAACTTTTTTTCTTTTCCAGAGCTGATGCTGCTCGGGTTCATATCGCTTCTTCTTACAGCAACCTCTAGCACAATAGCTAACATATGCGTCTCTTCAAGTTTCCACAATGATAGATTTGTTCCATGTACCCGCTCCGAGATTAATGATCAGGAACTTGAAAGTACTATTTCATCTGTCAAGCGGACTCGGTTAACGAGATCTCTCTTCTTCCACATTATGAGGAGAAGATTGAGTGGCATAGGCGAGAATACGTGCAGCGAGGTTATCTATTAATCTCATTTTATGATATTGTCCCTATATAGTAAAATTTCACACACATAACGTTATCTACTTACTTAACAGGGACATGAGCCATTTCTTTCATATGAAGGCATGGAACAATTGCATCGCTTCATTTTTATAATGGCAGTCACGCATGTAACTTACAGCTGCTTGACAATGCTTCTTGCAATAGTGAAGGTAGTATTATCAACTATTTTTCAATTCTTTTCTACTGAAGTTTTCATGTATTATAAGATTTATGAGTTTCTTGCTTCTCCTCGTATAGTTCTTAGATTATTTTGATGTATATATACTCCATTTGATAGTGTACTGATTCCTATGTTAGTACAAGTTCAATTTGATTTTCATTTTTTTTAGATTCATAGATGGAGGATATGGGAAGATGAGGTTCATATGGATCGAAATGATTGCTTAACTGGTGAGCATATATAGATGGTTATATCTTCTCCTTTCACACTAGATACTGAAGATTCTATACAAAGATTCATTAGACAATTTAACCTGTTACTACAAATTTAGCTCACGATCTCATATTTGTATATATATTTATTCAGGAAATTTCATATCTTACATGAGAAAATTTGTTAACTTTATTTTTGGCAGTGGTCGCACGTGAAAAGATATTCCGAAGGCAAACAACATTTGTCCAGTATCATACATCTGTTCCTCTGGTTAAGAATAGATTACTCATATGGGTGGTAGGTTTATACTTCCTCAAGAAATTTAAACTTGCTATATATTAATATTCTTCTACATTTGATGCATGATTGAAAACAAAGGTAAATATGATGATAAGTCATTTAAAATTTTACTAATATAGTAATATGTTTGCTCTTACCTATTATGATACCCAATTGCTCTTACAGATATGTTTCTTCAGACAGTTTGGACATTCTGTTGTTCGTTCTGACTATCTTACACTCCGCAAGGGATTCATCATGGTGCGTGCTACTCTCATGTCATTGAAATTTTTCACTTTCCGTTATACTCTTTTTCTTCTTTACATGCTCACAATGTACATGTTTGATGTGGTAAAAATGATGAAGCTTATTACTCTTGAAAATCGTTTCTTTTGTAGTAAGAGTTTTAAATAAGGCAAGAAAATATTGAGGTGTAACCTAGTAGATCTGAATGATTAAATATATCCATGCAAAATTTTGAAACGTTTGGGTGATATATACTAAAAGTTTGCCAATCTTTTTCACATCTTTTTGGATTGTACACCTTCATATAACTTTTGGTGTTATTTCCATTCATATTGTCGTATGTCTATTATGTTATTATAATCATTTTTATTTTCCTTTAAACAGAACCATCACTTAACATTGACATACGATTTTCATAGTTATATGATCCGCTCTATGGAAGAAGAATTCCAAAAGATTGTTGGCGTCAGGTGAGTTACCTCTTTTCCTTAGAAAAATAGTGTGGTACGTACATTTTTTTTACTTAAGAGTTGTAGAACTTCTTTTATTTCTTGTTCTAAGTTTAACTTGCTACCATATAAAACTTTTGGCCATTATTCATTCAATATACAAACTAATTATAATTTAAAACCATAATGTTGAGTGGTAATGATGCATTATTTCGACTGAATATTTTTTGATGATCTCTTGCAGTGGGCCACTTTGGGGTTTTGTAGTTGGTTTCATGCTTTTCAACATAAAAGGTGTGTATATACTGAGTTAATAATGAATTAGACACTGTAAAACATCATAGTGAAAAGTACTTGTGAATTAGTACTATTCTTTTGTGTGTCATTTCAAGAGTTTATTTGATATTATAATGTAGGATCAAATCTTTATTTCTGGTTAGCGATCATTCCAATCACTGTAAGAACTATATTTCCACTTCATGTTTCTCTTTTTTTTTTTGTTTTTTTCTTTAGAAATTGAGTCTTATATCATTTCTCTGATGGTTTTGCATCCTTATTTTTTCAACAGCTTGTTCTTTTGGTTGGTGCAAAGTTGCAACATGTCATCGCAACTTTAGCATTGGAGAACGCTGGGATAACAGAATATGCTTCTGGTATAAAGTTGAGACCTCGTGATGAACTTTTTTGGTTCAAGAAACCAGAATTACTATTATCTCTTATCCACTTCATTCAGTTTCAGGTCTGTAAAACTTATTCTCATCTATGTTAGTCACAGAGGAAATTTGTTGTTTTGTAATAACATATATATGTGCTTTCTGTTTCCTACAGAATGCTTTTGAACTGGCTTCCTTCTTCTGGTTTTGGGTAAGTTTTTGTCAATCTATCATCTTAATTGCCATATATGCATGATAAAAAAATAAATGTATAGTACATTCTTACGTTTTAAAATTTTGTTCTTATAATGACATAATCTATTCTTGTTTCTTCAGTGGCAATTTGGATACAATTCTTGCTTCCTAAGGAATTATTTACTTGTCTACTTGCGACTTATTCTAGGGTAATCAAGTTTTCTCGTTTAAGTCATGAGACTAATGTGTGTGTGTTTCATATAGTTTACGACGGTTTATTAATTTCTTATGTTTTGTAGGTTTTCTGGACAATTTTTATGTAGCTACAGCACACTACCACTCTATGCACTTGTCACTCAGGTAACATTTTCAGTAAAATACTTTTGGAGCTTCTGCTTACAGTAGTTCTTAAAACTCACAAACAAGACGAAATTATTTCTAGATGGGAACAAACTACAAGGCAGCATTGTTACCTCAAAGGGTAAGAGAGACAATAAATGGTTGGGGAAAAGCAACCAGAAGGAAAAGAAGACATGGGTTATACGGTGATGATTCAACTATTCGAACAGAAACAAGCACAATTGCATCTGTTGATGAATACAATGACCAGGTTCTTGATGTTTCCGAAACATCTCCAGTTCAAGGTAACGAGCTTGAGCTGCAGCTTATTCGCGGATCTTGTGAAAATTCTAGCAGTGTTGAAACACCGATCTTGCGACCTTGTGCTTCAATATCTTCAACAACTTTCTCAAGGCTACAGACAGAAACAACAGAATCACTCTCAAGGTCATCCTCATTGCCAATGAGAAGAGAATGTTAAGATAGAAATATGTTTAGTTGTTCGATTTTCAATCTTTCTTTCTCATCTCCTAAATTTAGGTTTATAAGTTATATGACTTTCTTTTACTATACATCATAGGTACTTACAGCATAGTAAATAGATAATTACAAAAATGGTTCACATATATCCTTTTGTCATTCTTCATTTTCAACTTTTCTCAAGGTTTTTGTTAATGATGGCTACATATATTGTTTATACTCGTTGGTCACCAACAACTTATTTGTCTCTTAAACCATAACTCAAGTACTTCCATCAAGTACTTTGTCCAAAAAAAAAAAAGTACTTCCATCAACTTTATCAATTCGTCATATGTTTTATAGTCACTTCAATCTCCAGCATAACCCTTAGGAAGTTGGCAATGGGCCTTCGATATACGGCTCTTGAGATTGTTTTTAGCTATATGAGAGCTCTAAACCGTCATTTCCAAGGGAAATACACAACTCATTAGTCTTCGTTGGAGTTATGACGATGCCTTTAATCATCTCTTCTTCGTTGAGTTGGTTTATGGCAGCCACCGTAATATTTGGCTTCGGAATAGGAACCCCAATCTTGATGATAGGAAATGAGAATGAGATGGAAACGATACCCCTTATAACCTTCCTAGGCATAGAGTTTATATTGTCTTGTTTATTTCCGAGACTCGAATCCTTACTTGTTTCTATGTAAATGTGATGCATCTCTTGACTTCCAACTTCTCCCAAACCAATACTACTTGAAATGTCGGTAGCTTCGGAATTAGTAACTAAAGCGGCTCTAAGCTCGGTTGCTTCAACAGGTTTGGGTGCAAATAGAGTGTCACCGAGCTTATCTTCTAGGTTCTTGCGACCAAAGGTAATGCTGAAACATAGTAAGAACATGAATGATCCTATGCATAAAAGGTTATATGTTGGTATTGTCATTTTCTCCACCTTAAAATTGGCAGTTATTTACAATTTGTCTAATATATAAGAAGAAGGCAATGAGTTCAAAAATAGAAGAGAAAAAAAAAAAGTGTGAATTTGATGGTACAAAGAGAAAATTTCAATTTGCAAAAGTTTCATGTTACTGAATTCATGCCATGAATTTAGGCTCATAATGTTTGAATGAGTTGAGATTTAAACGCATTCGTGTTTTTATGAAATATTGTCTTCTCTAAAATAGAAAATTAATATGTTAAGATGGTATACACTAGACTGTTTGAAAAATCAAATAAAAATATGTTTGATAGGATTTTCTAGCACAATGCTCATTATTTTTGTAAAGGATATTTATTATAGGTTTAATATTTATGTAAATTATAATAAGTATAATTGTATTATTATATTATTCTGGTCGCATAATCTTGATGAGCGAAAAATAGGAACAAACGTCTAGTCCTTTTTTTTGTCAACTACGGTTTTCCAACCCGAAAAAGAAGTTGTCAAAGCAAATATTTAATCATTTTTTGATTAACGGAAAACTTTTTTCTACAAATTTGAAAGTCATCGTACAAAACGTAAACAAAATTGCAAGTCTTTAAACTATTGGTTTAATCGCGAAAGGTAAACGCAATTATAAATTGTTATGCCATTGATCCTATATATTGATAGAATGTCCTGAGTATTAGTGAGAAGAGAATACATGAAAATGTCAAACACCGATCATAGTATTAATTCTTTTTTCTGGTCTAGAAATGCGTATTTTCATCAAATCGGAGAGCATAATATTGATTTAGTCAATCTCCGTCGTTTAAATTATAATATATAGCGATCTCATACTCAACTTCACAGAGATGTTGGAAGCTATATTAGAATGTCTTGTCCTTTCTTCCATATATATCCAAACTATTTTTTTGACACAAAATCCATACACAATTGCATCTGTTTTGAAGATTACAATGACCAGGTGCTTGATGTTTCCGAAACATATCTCCAGTTCAAATTACCGAGCTTGAGCTTGAGCTTGAGCTTATTCGAAATGGGGAGCTAGTGGAAATTCTAGTAGTGTTGAAACACCAATCTTGCGACATTGTGCTTCAATATCTCCAACAACTTTCTCAAAGGCTACAGACAGAAACAACAGACTCACTCTCAAGATCATCCTCGCATTGCCAATGAGAAGAGAATGTTAAGATAGAAATGTTTAGTTGTTCCTTTTTTCATTTTTCTTTCACATCTCCTAAACTCAGGTGTAATTAAGATAAGTATATGACTATTTTTACTATAAATCATAGATACTTTCAGCATACTAAATAGATGTAAGAAAATGTTTCACATATATCCTTTTTTCATTCTAGAGTCAAACGTTTTGGCAAGGTTTTGTTACAAAATCGCTACATATTTTGTTTATACTCGTTGGCCACCAACAACTTCTTTGTCTCTAAAACCATAATTTTATCATATGCTTTTATAGTAACTTCAATCTTTAGCACTACCTACCCTTAGGAAGCTGGCAAGGCCTTCAATATTGTGGTTCTTGGGGCTGCTTATTGGTAGCTGTATCCGAGCTCTGCACCGTCATTTCCAAGGGAAATACCAAACTCATTAGTCTTCGTTGGAGTTATGACAATACCTTTACTCATCTCTTCTTCATTGAATTGGTTTATGTCAGCCACCGTAATATTTGGCTTCGGAATAGGAACCTGAATCTTGATGATAGGAAATGAGAATGAGATGGAAACGGTACCCCTTATAATCTTCCTAGGCACAGAGTTTATATTGTCTTGTTTATTTCCGAGACTCGAATCTTTACTTGTTTCTATGTAAATGTGATGCATCTCTTGACTTCCAACTTCTCCCAAACCAATACTACTTGAAATGTCGGTAGCTTCGGAATTAGTAACTAAAGCGGCTCTAAGCTCGGTTGCTTCAACAGGTTTGGGTGCAAATAGAGTGTCACCGAGCTTATCTTCTAGGTTCTTGCGACCAAAGGCAATGCTGAAACATAGTAAGAACATGAATGATCGTATGCATAAAAGAGTATATGTTGGTGTTGTCATTTTCTCCACCTTCAGATCAACAATTATTACAATTTCTCTAATATATAAAAACGAAAAAAAAATGAGTTAAAAAGGAGAAGAGAAAGAAAAGGTGTGAATTGGATGGTATAAAACAAAGAGAAAATTAAGAAGGACGCATGATTATTATTCAATTTGCAAAAGTTTCATGTTACTGAAATCATGCCATGAATTTCGGCTCATAACTTTTGAGTGAATTGTGATTTAAACGCATTCGTGTTTTTATGAAATATTGTCTTTTTTTTTGTCAACAACTTTAATGGGAAAATTGGATATAAAGGATATCTACTACAAAATTTGTCCATATATCCCTTTTTTTTTTAGATTGGTCATATAGGTTTTTTCACAATTCAAAACCCAAATTTACCCTCATTTTATTTAAATCCATTTTTGGTTTTCTTATATATTTTTCTTATGTAGATGCTTAAGTATCTCATTTGGAAACATTGTAATATACAAATGGATTATTAGTTAAAGTAAGTACGTAGGCATCTACGTTCTTCTTCCTCCACAGCCATTCTCCCTCTGGCAATTGAAGAAAGATGCAGCCACAGGGAGACCTAGATTGTAGATCTCAGCAAACTCATGAGTGTTGAACTATTGGTGCACCTCGGATGCATAAACCGTTTGTCTTCCGAGTTGCCGAAACAATACCAACACAATACGGTGAATTCCCGAGGGTGGACGTGGACTCTCGTAGCAGACCACCTCATTACCTGATAAATAATCATAAATACACGTATTAGCCCTACATTAATAAAAGGTATTTTTATCGCTTATTTTATATAGATTAAATCTTTGTTGGTTGTAACGGACATATAAAGCAGACTATATAAACCGCTTTAGGTTTGTGATAACATGGAACATACTAATATATCTTCATAAAATTATGTTTTGCAATTAATCGATTTCTTTATAGAAAATTAGGATCTCAGTAAAATACTTTAAAAATTAAACTATACTTCAAATTTGACAATTGTCAGCTTGGTAACTAAGCTCATAATCTCGTGTAGGACATTAAGTTAAACTTAACAATGCATTTAAATTGTTGCATAACATGCATAACAATTATTTCTTTTATTATTATTATTTTTTTCATACATAACATTTATTATTGCAAACTTATATCAAAAGATAAAAAGGTTCATATTGAGATCTCCACTCCTTCTTGTCATACAATCTTCACACATCACTCCTTAAGTAGATATACATCGAGAAACTAAGACACAAATCGTTGAAGGAAAAAGAAAGAATTTGAAGGAAAAACGTAGGGTATAGCAAAAAAATCGAAAGTGGTGGCTTAGCTTAGAGTTTAGAAAACGTTTTAGGTTTTAATCTTAGTCTAAAAACCGTAGACAACAACTTCTACATCTTTAGATCGTAATCTAAACAATTAATATTCATTTAAATCGTAATCTAAAAAAAATATTTTGTTTCCTTTTCTGAAGATTTACTTTCTATATTTAGAGAATTCTAAAAATTTCAGAAAATCAAATCTGCAGTACCGTAGAATTTACATTCTAAACTCAGATTACAATTTCTAACGATGGCAGACGATGTAGAAATTATTAAAACGTCTATTCTAAAATATTTAGAACATAGAGAAAAACGTAGAATGCATGTTCTAAATATTTTAGATTTATGATTTTTGGATTTCTAAAATTCTCAGAACAGAAATCTAGTCTGAAATAAGTAGAACATGTACAAAAATGCAGAATACACACTCTGAGTTTCGCAGAACTCTAGAAAATGTGTCCTACCAAAATTAGATAAAACTTTATCTATCAAAAAATCAACTTTTTAAAAACCAAATCTAAAAAATTTCACTTCAAATCACCTCTACTCTTGTATATCTACATGTTTTTTTGATTATTTTTTTAAAAAAACATTTAAATTAGGGTGTAGGGGTAAAATCGTCCAAACTGACAATCTCACAAAAAAGGTATATATGGACAAATTTTTAAGTAGATATCCTTTATTTCCAATTTTCCCAACTTTAATTGATTAGCTCAAAGGAACCAATTTGTAAAGACTATCTTCTCTAAAATAGAAAATTAGTATGGTAAGATGGTATACATTAGACAGGTTTGAAAAAGAAATCAAATAAAAATATATATGTTTGATATGATTTTTCTAGGACAATGCTCGTTATGTTGTAAAGGATATCTATATATATTATAGGTTTAATTTTTCTTTTGTAAATTCTAGTAATTTCTCATATTTATATTGTTGTAAAAAACTATCTATTAATTATATAATGCTGGTCGCATACCCCTGGTAAGAAATAAATAGGAACCATTGGTTTGTATTTGGGATGGTGACTAAAAATTATATACTTACGTAACTAACTTTTAATGGGTAATCAAGTTAAAAGACAACTTTTAGTCCTTTTTTTTTTGTCAACTGCTGTTTTTCAACCAAAAAAGAAGTTGTCAAAGCAAACATTTAATTCTTTTATGATTAAATTTTCTGCAAATTTGAAAGTCATCGTGGTTGTACAAAACGTAATCAAAATTGCAATTCTTTAAACTATTGGTTTAATCGCGAAAGGTAAACGCAAATATAAATGGGTTGTGACATTGATCCTATTGATAGAATGTCCTAAGTATTATAGTGAGAAGAGAATCTTAGTCCAAATATTTTTTTATAGACATAGTATGAAAAAAATAAGAAAAACAAACGCATATACATATGAAAATGTACATATTATAGCATTCTTTTTTTCTGTTAACTAAATAGTTTTGGACTTTTGGGTCAAGATGCATGATTTAGTTACTATGATACTATCCGTCGTTTAAATTTAAATTTAAAGAGCAAACATCGTCGTCTCTTTTATATGTTTAGATATGCCATACGAAAATAGTGTTTTTTACTTTTTAAATATCCATTTTAATTAGATCCATTTAAAATCCATTGACGCGTACGTCCATGTACGGACGTTGCAAAACAAATCCATCAAAAGAGAAAAAAACGAAAAGAGAGAGAGAGTCAAAGATTAAGATCGACGTATATCGTAGTCACAGATGCCGTTCTCTAGAGCTATTTACTAGTATTAGATATATACATCTTTGGATCATTCAATTCAATTAATTCCAATTTTCCGGACTTTCCGCTTTCAACGACAATTATGGAATCCCTCATAGCTTAGGAAGACCCACTAAAATAACCTTTTCTAACTATACTTTCTATATATTTGTATTTTCAAGATTCTCTATGTTAACTTACTGTGGTGAATGTCCCGTGCCATTTTTTTTTAAATGTCCGAGTACAAATTCCCCGGTTCATGTATCGGAAAAAACAAAAGATAAGGGCTAATCTCCTTTTTTTTAATTAGTAATATCGATAATGGTGTTGTAACAAACTCCAATTAATATATTATCTATAAACATAACCTAACTAGTGTGGCGCATAAAATCAGGATGATTATCAAATACAGTAGGAGCCGACACCTCAACTCCGTTTCCCGTGATGTATTAAGAAAAAACAAATAATTAAATATAGTAAGATTAAATTAGTGAAAATGGAACAATAAATAGTTAATGCTAACCAAAATTGTGTTGTATTTTTATATTTGAACTAATTTACTTCTTGAATCCACTTTAAAAAGTATAAACTAAGAAGTGAATAATAAAAGACACTGAGAAAAACTATTACTAAGTGAGAAGCTAACAAAAATAATCGATAAAAATATTCGAAATTGATTAAGTATAATTCGAAGTGAAGGAGAGCTGAAGTATGAAGGGGGCATGCAAGTTTGGGTTGCTTCAAAATCACATTGAAAAATATATTATCTCATATTTGTTTTTAAAAACAGTTTGCATTAAGTTGTATGCATGTTTATTTTTCTTTGAATGTAATTTAACATTAATTCAAAAAAAAAAACTATAAACTAAATAGTGTTTTTTCTCCAGCCAAATTATTATTAATTTTTAGTTGGACGTAATATACTCGTATGCTATGAAAAAGTTGTAGCTACTCGACCAGACAAACATAATAAATAGTAAGTGATGCATAACAAATTGAACAAAACTTAAATGGTGACCATAATAAGTAGTATGATGCAGATTTAATAAACACATGCTAAATACATCAAATATTGTTGTGGATTTTGGGCCCAATGTCATTGCTCACGACACTACCAGTATTTATCTCAGTTAACAGTGACATTTGTGTGTAAGTTTTTTTTTTTGGTGAGTACATACATTTGTGTGTAAGTTTTAAATAACGTGATACTCAAATAAAATGCAACGTTGGTCAAAAAGAAAAAGGATAAAGTGAGTTTTTTTTTTTCGTCGGAAGGATAAAGTGAGTTTACGCGTCCTATTTACCGCTCGAGCATAATTAATCACTTTCCACTTTTTTTAGTTCGAATATAACTAATTCAATAATAGTATGATTATGAAGACTTAATCACTTATCTTTTTGAATAGATAAGATCAATAAGAACATCTTTATATGACTCATGCCTTTACCAAATATAAAATATTGAAATACATAGAGTAGTTACCAATTTCATTTGCCCCTCAAAACCAAGTGATATTGACATATTAACATATATATCACAAATTAATAATATTGTAAATTTGTAATAGAGTTTTATGTGATTGATTTCTTCATAAAATACATTGTATATCTTTTTTACCCTAGATAATAAATTTAGTCCATACGTATAACTGTATAAGCTGATATTAAATTAAACAAATAAAATAACTACTTCGTTATATGATAAGAATATACGATAAACATAAAAAGTGGACGACAAGAAAAAAGAGAAAGAAAAAACATAAGAAGTTAAGAACTGTCGCTAGTCTTATAAACCTTTATCAAAGAAAGAAAGAAAACTGTCGCTAGTCTTCAAGTTGTTAGATCCAATATATATCAACACCGACACACCATGTGGCCGGACTCTTTTTATTTTCTAGTGATTGGATTCACATTGAGTCAAATAGAGTATGTTTGCTGATGTTAGAATCCTACAATAAAATATTAAAAGTATAGAAAATTATATATAAAGGCTATGATTTTGAGATGAAAATCGATAAAATTAAAAACAAAAACAAAAACAAACAAACAAAAAAATCGATAAAATTTAACATAAAATGTTTTGTTAAAAGGTGTAGTTTTTTATTTTGTAATTTGCAATTTGGGTAAAAATTGTTTTTTTTCTCATCTTTGCTATTTAGATAGTTTTTTTACTTTTTTACTACCTTACTTTCTTTTCAACCCCATGTATATTTACAACTATACTAGAAGGTGTACCAGTTTATGACGATATAAACCATAAACAATGTATAGAGAGGACTATAATCATCTCCCGTAAATAGTATATTGTCTTTTGTGAACAATGAAATAATGAATCATCCACTGTGAATAGTAGTTAGTGTATCAGTCAACGTGAACATTGTACACTGAACAATGTAACTGATAGATTAGGAAACTCGATTACACTCATCTTATTTTAGGAATATCACATATTATGTAATTAGATTAATTGATTCATTGTACTCTTTTAATATAGATAATTGTGATTCTCATCATTCAATATGGTATCAGAGACTTTTCTCTAAACCTAAATTTTTTTTTTCCTCTAAGCCGCCATACTAACACTCCATAGTCTCCATTGCCCTCCTCCTGCTCTTTGTCACTATGTCTCTCACCCTCTGTTTTCTTCCTCTAAACTCTCTTATTTCTTCCATCCACCGTAAAACAATGTATCGGTCACTGTGAACCGTTCTATTGTCCACTAGAACAGTGTGGAAGTGTATCATTCCACGCAAAAAGTGTATCATTCCACGCAAAAAGTGTATCGTCCACCTGTTTTCTTTCTATTGAATCTGTTTTATAGTATTTTGATGTTTATTTTTTCCAACCAACTACTTTAACCCATTTATTATTAATTTAGAGGAAGACATTTTGTACATGTGTTGTTATGCAATTATTTTATTTTCGTTGTCAATCAGTCCACCCAAGAGCCCACCACAACAAACGTCTTTTCAATTTCATTTCAACTCTTTTGATTTTTCTCACGTGAAATTATATCCACTTGCAAATCTTTATGTGACTCAATATCCCTCTGTCTCTTATATATATGAAGATATATGTATGACTATATATATATGAATATAAGTGATTAGTTGAATAAACTCCACGAGTTTTTGCATGGTTGGCAAATTCTTATATAACCCACACTTTGTTCTTCTTACGCTTTCTAGTTTCTTTCTTCATCTAATAGCTTTTCTTTTTTGTCGTCTCGTAATTTTCTCAAAATCTGTTCTTTACTCTGCAGCCAACTTTTCAGCGAGACGCAGAGAGGGAGAGATAGAGATTAATCTCAACTAAAAGAGGCTTTTAATTGGATCTGGATTCTTGAGTTTTACAGAGAAGTCCAGAAAAATTGAGAGAAGAAACCAAATATGAAGTTTGGGAAAGATTTTGTTAGGCAGATGATTCCAGAATGGCAACAAGCTTACATAGATTATGCTTGTCTCAAGTCTATCCTTCAAGAAATCCAAACTTCACGGAAAAGATCAGAGAGACCAGGTGTCTTGAAACGCAAGCTATCTGGTAGCCGCAACTTCAGCGGCCTGACAAAGCGGTATAGCCGCACCGCCTCGTCTCGGGAACCCGAAATTCAGGACATTATGGTGTATGCAACAACTGGGGACGATGGGTTTGAGAGATACGAGACAACTATCTTGGAAGTTGCAGAAGCAGGGAGAGAGTCAGAGCTTGCGTTCTTTAAAACCCTAGATCTTGAATTCGATAAAGTAAACCATTTTTACCGGTCTAAAGTGGAGGAAATGGTGAAGGAGGCAGTGGTTTTGAACAAACAAATGGATGCTCTTATTGCTTTCAGAATCAAAGTTGAGCAACCTTCTTCTTCTTGGAGCTGCTCTGAAACAGTATCAGTGGATATCAATGCCTTAGATTCTACGGAACAGAGTAAGTTTTCAGAGATTTTTTGTGACTAAGTTTAGTCTGAAAGGACACAAAGCTTGAATCTTTTTGTGGTTTTATTTTGAAGGGAAGACATTAGGTGAAGAGATGGGAATCAAAGTAGAGGGAAATGGATCCAACGGTGGAGATTCAACGAAAGAGAGTGTACCAGAAGTGTTAAGTGTTCTTGAACGTATCAGATTAAACAAAACTCAGGAAACTCCTCTTTCCACTATTAAAAACGTCCTCAAGCTCTCTAACCAAGAAGAGCTCAAATTCACAAGAGAGAATCTCAAGAAAATAGAAGAACGGCTTAAGAATGTCTTCATTGAGTTTTATCGCAAGCTTCGACATCTCAAGAATTACAGGTATGTTGCTTCTTAAGAAGAAATGAAATGTGAAAAAGATTGTTTGATTAAATCCATGCTTTGTTCTTGATTTATTCAGCTTCTTGAACACTTTGGCGATTTCCAAGATTATGAAGAAATATGATAAGGTAACACTAGATTTCATCATATCTATATAATGTAAGTTTCTGGAGACTTATTAATATGTTTTTGCTAAATATTTTCTATCAGATTGCTTCAAGAAGTGCAGCAAAACCATACATGGAGATGGTAGATAAGTCCTACCTCACTAGCTCCGATGAGGTTAACACACTACCTCTACACCAAACTTATTACTATTTTCTTTCAATAAAACTAAAATCTTTAAACCTGAGCTTATTTACATTTTAACAGATCAACAAGCTTATGTTGAGAGTTGAGTCTACCTTTGTCGAGCATTTCGCGGGTTTGAATCGAAGCAAAGGAATGAATCTCTTAAGACCAAAAGTGAAGAAAGAAAAACATCGAATAACGTTTTCCACTGGTAACTAAAAGGATATCCCAAATCGAAACCGGTTTATTTACATTAGTTCATGACTAATCAAACAAAATCCCTCAAATTAGTTCTTCTTTTTCAGGCTTTTTCGTCGGTTGCACAGTCTCCTTAGTGGTTGCTCTCGTCATGTTCATCCATGCTCGTAATATAATGGGCGCAGATGGACATAAACTCTACATGGAGACAATGTTCCCTCTTTACAGGTTCAAACCAAAACATATATTTATAGATTACTCTCTAATTAAAAACACTGTTTTCTTGCTGACAATGTTCCACTGGTAACTTTATTTCCAGTTTATTTGCATTTGTGGTTCTGCATATGATCATGTATGCTTCAAACATATACTTTTGGAAGCGATATCGAGTGAATTATCCGTTTATATTCGGTTTTAAAGAAGGAACAGAGCTTGGTTATAGACATGTTCTGCTTCTAAGCTTTGGTCTTGGCACGCTTGCTCTCTGTGCTGTTCTAATAAACCTTGACATGGAGATGGACCCTAACACTAATGACTACAAGACCATGACTGAACTTCTTCCCATTTTTATTTTGGCTGTAAGTTGTTCATCATATCAACCACAAGAATCTTAAATCATTCTACTAATGTAGTAACACATTTCGTTTGTACAATGTTCTGCAGCTAGTGGTTGCTATTTTGTTCTGTCCCTTCAACATTTTTTATCGGTCAAGCCGTGTGTTCTTCCTCATGGTTGTCTTCCGCTGCATCGCTGCGCCACTCTACAAGGTAATTTAATTACTCAAGCAAATCCTCTGTTTTACGCGGGGTAAAACATGGATAAACTCTTAATTTTTAATCTAAATTTGCAGGTTAATCTTCCAGATTTTTTCTTGGCAGACCAATTAACAAGTCAGGTTTGTGTGTGTTCATAACATTCTTCTAACTTCCATGTATATGTTTTCAACATGTAACTCATTAATCAACTTTCTTATTTTTTAGGTTCAAGCACTAAGGAGTCTGGAGTTTTACATATGTTACTATGGTTGGGGAGACTTCAGGCACAGGCAAAACACTTGCAGATCAAGCGATGTATACAGCACATTTTACTTCATCGTCGCTGTGATTCCTTACTGGTCACGTTTTCTTCAGTGTGTTCGAAGATTGATCGAAGAGAATGATTCAAGTCAAGGCTACAATGCTCTCAAGTATTTATTAACCGTTGTCGCTGTGTGCTTGAGAACAGCTTATAGCCTTAACAGAGGAAACATCTGGAAAGTCGCTGCCTGGGTTTTCTCGGCATTGGCAACTTTTTACGGCACATATTGGGACATTGTTTTTGACTGGGGATTACTTCACAGACCATCTAAACATTTGTTAAGAGAGAAGCTTCTTGTTCCTCACAAAGCCGTCTACTACGTTGCAATCGTGAGAACTGTGAAAATCAAAACAACAGTACAAATCCTGATTGATGATTTCCTTATAATTTGGTTTGTCTTCTCTTCTTTATAGGTCTTAAACATCGTGTTGAGGATGGCTTGGTTGCAGACTGTACTGGATTTTAATTTCAAGTTCTTACATCGAGAAACTATGGTTGCTCTTCTTGCTGCTCTTGAGATCATACGTCGTGGTATCTGGAATTTCTTCAGGTAACTTTTTGACCAAGACACGATGACTAAATTCTCCTTCAAACCAATTTTTACTTAAACTTAAGAGTTCTTGCTTTGTTCACAGGTTGGAGAATGAACACTTGAACAATGTGGGAAAGTTCAGAGCATTCAAATCAGTTCCGTTACCATTCAACTACGACGAGGAGGAAGATCGAGATAATTAACTCTTAGATTGGATATAATCAAGGTTTTTCCAAAGAGTCGGGTTTCAATTTTGGGTAGGGTTTACTTGTATCTGTTTCAGTAAAGAGAAGGAAATGAGCACAACGAGGCTTCGGATATAACAATCTTACCTAGGGTTATCATTGAGCTCTCTATCACAATGTGCCCAAATCAGATTTCAAACCAAAATTAGTCCATAAACCTACCAAACACGAGCTACTTTGTCTATGATAAACCAAAAATTACCCTTGAAATGACACACTAATAAACTACGAGGTTATTGAGACAGCGAGCGTATATGACAAAGAGCTTCAAAAACTTGTATAGATGGTTTCACGTGAATCTAGTTATCCATTTAGAATAGATTTAGCTGTTGAATCCAAATCTAAGAGCACATATATAAAAATGAGCTAGCCTAAACTTTGCAACAAGCAAAATGACAATAACATAATTTGTCAGAAGAAGCATGGAATATTGATATTGCAGCATAAAATAATTTTCCAAAACAGCATCAACTAAGTCTATAATCACTCCAGTGTACTACTAAGAAAGCCAAGATTTTTCCCTCTTGATATCCAACAAGGAGTAATCATATTGGAAACCTTGATCAGTTGTTCGAATTGCCTTACTCACTAGGGTTTAGCCGCTCACCGCTGCAACAGAAGAAATGTGGCAGCTTGACTCGCCCGCAACTCCTGGAAACACAAAAGAGTGTGTACATAAACCGGCGGTATATATAAAATTCTGATACAAGTGCCCTCACAATGAGATCATGAAAAACGAAAGAATTTTTTAAATCAAACATATACCAAAACCGAACAAGTTGACTCATATTGTGTCCATGATGAACACAACTAGCGCTTTCGTCAAACTCGTTAAAGATACACAATTCTGGTTACTCGAGTGCAGTTTCTACCAAGCGATAGTAAGGAGAGAACAATGAATCACAAAGCATATGCATTTATTCTTCAGCTGTTGCTGCAGTAACAACCTAGAGAAAAACTAACAGTACAAAAAATTTCACAGCCTCAAAACTAGACCCCCATACCAAACTCAACCTATGGATAGGTAAAGAACCATAAAACAGATAAAGCAACAAGTGAAGCTAATCTCTTACCTGCAACGGATGATCACAGGAACAGGCTTAAGAGCCTTTGGGCCATTTCTTATTCCTCTCTTGTGTTTAGAAATCTGCATGTTTCATCAAAAACAGCTTCGATTAACACTATCATTCTCCAAAGGAGCCATTAAAAATTACATATTTTCATTCACATGTGAACCTAAAGGAACCAAATCAATTTAGATGCGAGCTTAAACCCAAAGATACACAATCAAATGGAAAAACAATGGACACTCAAAACACACAAAAACAATCAACTAATAAGTCCAATAATGCACCTCCCTAAAACCCTAGAAAAACCCTGAATCCGTCAAAAAAGCTAATCCCTAGATGCAAATAATTCAAAAACCCTAAGAAATTTTTCCATTTCGGACAACGAAGGGAGAAAACTAATTAAGAGACTGAGAGTTCTTCGACCTTCTTCTTAGGCACAGCCATTAGCTCCATGGATCCATTAAAAGCAAAACTAGGAAGCCCGAACCCGAAGCTCTTTTCATCGATCAAACCCGGTTGATTCTGATCGAACTCAGGTAAAACCGGCGGCGGCATAGAAATCGGTCGATCGAATGCTCCGTTCAAGGGCGAAGGCATCGCAGCGACATGGCTGAAGCTTCGGGTTTCCAAAATGCGGTAGGACTCAACCGCGGCGCGTTTTAGCGATGTCAATCTCAACGCCATTGATGCAGTTTCTCCAAAGCTATAGCTGACGGAAGTGAAGACTAGAAAACCAAAGAGGTATAAATTTTATCATAAAAACGGCATCGTTTTTAAGATACGAACCGAATCGAACCATAAAATTTATCTCTTAACCGATTCTAGACCGTAATTTAGAGTGTGATGTACCCGGTTTGATTCATTAACCAAGAGGTTTTTCTGATACAAGCCATTTCCGCATTTCGAAACCCTTGTGTCTTCGTCGTCGTCGTCTCTGGTAAAAGAATCACACAGATCAAGCGAAGAAGCTCAGCAACAATGTCGTGGATGAAAGGTGATTTACTTTCCAAAACCAGGAGGCTTGTTGGTGGCTTAGCTACACGAGAGCCTGTTTGGCTTAAGGCCATGGAAGCGTAACTCTCTCTCTCTCTCTTCTCCCATTTCTATTTTTCCAAATGATTTGGCTCGATCGATCAATTAGATACTTCCTTATTGAATCATCCGTTAATGGGTTCTGAAATTCGATTGCAATTGAATTCCATTTGCATAAAAAGTTGAGATTTTGGCGTCTGTGGTATTTGGATTTAGGATTTTGAGGGTTTTGTTGAAATGAGTGTTCTGTGATTTGGTTTTAATGGCAGTTCACCTCCTCCTGTGTTTCCTCGCTCTAATGGAAAAATCCAGAGGATTGTTCTCCCCGAGGATCCTTATGTTCGTAAATTCGCCAATAAGCATCCTGGAACAAAAATTGATGACCCTGCCAAGTAAAATTCTCAACTTTTATATCTCTGCATTTGTACAAAAGATAGTTTGATGATTATGTTATGAGTTTGTTCTTCATAAAGCTTATTCTGATATGAATCACTATAGAAAGAAGTTTGATTCAATGGTAGAGTTTAACCATTCAATATGTATGTATCTCTCTCTACTCTTATTACTTTGTATAATGTGGTTGCCATCTTCAATAGGATATCAGCGTTTGTTCCAGATCAAGCACGTGTATATGGTTGTCGGGTACTTGAATTGAAGGAGCATGGCATCAGTGAGGATGATGCCATGTCTGTAGCTAATGTACGTTATTTTCGTTTCACAGTCTATGATGACAACATTTGAATAGATCAGAATCGTGCTGTTGATGCCGTTCCTTTGAACAGTGAAGATGTTTTCTTCTTCTTGCTGATTTATGTTTTGATATTTTCAGATGGAATATCTTTCAGAGAGAAAGGAAATGAAGAAAGCATACAAACGCCTAAAGGAGCTTGCGAAAATGCAAGATAAGGATCCACCTCCAAAACCATATCCTAGTGCCAAAAAAGGGTTAATAACTCAATCGAAGAAATCTGCTAAGGATCGATTCCAGACTCCTAGCGTCCGCAGGCTAGTTAACCAGTTGAAAACTGAGAAAGATGTGTTGCTGCAGGACAGAACCGGAGGAAGTGCTAATCAGGATAATTGGATCGACGAATAAATTCTCCATCATCCTTTTCTTTTATGCTACTCATCCAATTTCTTTTGTAGAACTGGCTTTTTCATATATGACATTCTTTGACTACAAATGATTTGCAACAAAACAAGTGTTATTTCCATTTGAGTGTCTTTGTAATAATAATATAATATCATTGGATGTTTTCTTCCATGAGGCAAGGAATTACAGAAAACCAAAATGGTTATTATCTCTATGGATCCTACAAGCAATTAGTTTCAACATTTGCAAAAGACTTATCACTCTAGGCCAAGAAGAGTCTTCATTGCCTTCTTTTTCGATACCACTTTGCCATAAACACCCTTCCCTAGCTTCAAGATTTTCTCCATCTCCACAATGTTACTGCAACCTCCATTCTTCTTCATCATCCCTTCCACAGCCATCTTCATCAATCTCTCATCACTTCCAACAACATCAGAGACACTGTCCACCACAACTTCCACTGTTGGTATCTTCCTTCCCCACCTCTTCATAAGTCTCTCCGAGTTATAAATCTCATCATAAATTCCCCAATAAGATGCTCTCAATAACCCTTTATCCTTCCCTTTTACCTTCCATCTCTTCATCCCTTCCTCCACCATGTAAACCGCGTTTCCCGCATCTACGCCTCTCTCTAAACCCATTTCAAGCTCTCTTATCTCTTGGTTGGTAACATACAAGACACTCTCAAACTTGCATCTACTGCATCCGCAACGAAATCCCCATGACTCAGCCATCTCTTTCCGTTTTTCCAATGGAGAAAGCACGTCGAAGTAAGCAAAAGTGATCTCCTCCCCGGCTTTGATGTCTCTGGAGGCATGAACAATCACGTAGTCTCCAACATGGAGACGTCTTGCGTTTGGGATACACGAATGGTTAATGAATGAAGCTAGAGTCCATAGCCCTACACCGTAATACTCTTTGTTCTTCCCCATAACTTTAGCTGAAACAGCATCTTCCACCAGAGAATTCACATCCAAGATACTCAATAACTTCTCCGTATCCAAACTCTGTTTCGAGTCATCATAAGTTTCAAATGCTTCATCAGGCCTAAAGAGAGCTATATCTGGAATCTCCAGATTGTCTTCGTCTTGTCCAGTGGACAAAGCGGAGACAACTCGACGTGTCCTACCGCATTTCCTCACGGATTCAGTAACCTCTTCAACGAAATTCTTCCACATTATCAACTGCGCTTTCTCGCCAGACTCTCCATTACCTAAGATCCCTCTCTCAATCGCAACCGCCTTTGTAACTAAAATCGAAGTCCCGCCAACAATATTCTTCGTAGCAAACAATCCACGCCCACTAAACTCAGATTTCTTAATCTCAATCAACCCAATAAACTCAGCAAGCTCGGGACATCTCCCACGAAACCCACTTAAGATCCAATCAGACAAATCAAAAGCTCCAGTCTTTGCCTGAAACTCAAGCTTCTTACATTTCTCCATGTACCCAGTAACAGTCTCGAAGTTATCACTCGCTTGAGGATCGAGCAGAGCCGTTTTAAAGCATTCCAAAGCCAATGAGTATTTGCTCAATCCAAGCAAAACTTTACCTTTACAAAGAAGAGTCTTGAAATGAGTCTTTTCGATTTCAAGTGCTTGATCACAATCCCTCATTGCTTCCAAGAAATCTCGTAGCCTAGCTCGCGCCTCAGCTCGATTACATAGAGCCAAGCAGAGAGATCTCCGGAGCTTAGCAATCGAATCCGGATTCGGGTCGGATCCACCATTTCTTGAGACTTGCCTCCGAGAGAGATCGATGAACTCCGTGTAAACTTTTATAGATTCTTCCCATTCTTCCCGAAGAAGAAGCTCCGTCGCTTTAGATCTCAAGCTCTGCAACAGCTCCAATGGTCCGTCTCTATCTTCCTCTAGCTCGAATTGCTCTCCTCCCATTGCTATTTCCTGAGATCAATTAATAAAAAGTTTTGGATTTTGGCTTTAATTTACGGATTGTGTTGTTTTTGTTCCTCCCAGAAACTTAAATGCTAGAGTTTTTGTAACGGTCGGATTTTCCTTTTTTACACTATGGTTTTGTCCCCACTTGTAGTAACGGTCATGAACTACTTAAAAAATTACATCACAAGGTTTAATTAATCAGCAAATATTCATTAACATTAATTTCAGTTAAAACATTTAACAATTTACTATTGTACTCTAGTTAGACCAACTAGGCTGTTTTTTTAACATCAAAGTGTATCTCAAAAGCAAATGACATTTGTTTTGTCAGTCTCACAAGTGAATCCCTGTCTGTTTAGTAAAACTAGTGATCTCATTGCCTTGAGAAACAGCTAAGCCTATTCCTGTTCTTCCACCATTACCAACACCTCTATAATACAATCTCCATTGATGATCAGAGTCTCCATCCATCTCAATCAAATATGGACATCCAACTCCTTCGTTATCCCACGCACTGCCTTCACCAACAGCAACCACGGCTTCCTCGTCCTGCACCCGTTTCCAATCATTAATCCCGTCTTTCGAAACCGCCAAGCCAATGCTCGTCTTCCCGTTTCTATCTACACCTTCATAAGCCATCACATAACTCTCATCTCTCTTGTTCCTTGTCACACAAGGATATCTACCTCCAAGCTCATCAAAGAAACCCGATCCATCCTTTTCGGATATTCTTCCTCCTAATATCTTTCCCAATTTTAACCACTTGATCCCATCTCTAGACCTCGCCATCCCAATGCAGAATTCACCGGGTTTATCATCGAACGAATGGTAATACATCCGTAAATCGCCATCTCCATGGAAAACTACATGTGGAGATGCAATATAGTAAAAGTCCCAATCTTTTTCAGACCCGACATCAAACAATGCCCCACTATGATGCTCACCTTCAATTCTAGCCCAATGCCTACCATCTTGACTAATTGCTAACCCGGGAAGTGACCTATAAACCCTAGATTTCTCAACATTCTCATCACAAAGGTGAAACCTTTCCGGATTTCCCAGCCCGGAAGTGAAACCTTGGGATTGAAACTCAACAGTCTCAGTAGTGTAGCCAGTGTAATACATCCAGTAAACAGAGCTATTAGCTCTGACTTTAGAACTCGACATTATCACAACTTCACCAGGTCTAACACTTGCAGTATCAAATCCCCACCAGTCTTCACCACAGCTCATAACCAAACCCACATCGTCGCTTGACTCAACTTTCCCTTTTCCTCTTTCCCAATGAATCCCATTGTTTGAAACCGCTAATCCGATACAATCAGAAACAGGGTTCTGCTTGGAGCTTCCATGGTACCACATGTACCATCTCTCTTCGTTATCGCTTAGAAATCTCTTCACAACCGGAGAACCAATCTCCTCACTGTCCCATGAATCTTTAGAGACGCCCAGATCAAGAACTAGCCCTTTCTTCAGAGAGATCGATGATTCAAAGGTTGAATCTTGACCCGTTTCTCTACTTTTTGTGGTGGAACATCTTGTGACTGTGAGCGAATAAGGAAAAAAACGTTTGTTCCGGTAAGTAAGGAATCGAAGTGAGAGAGCGGGTGATCGGTAAGGTTGAATTGTTCTCGAGGCGGTGACAATGGAGGGATTTGCACAAGTAGCTTCCATGGCTCGAAGAAAATCGGAAAGCTAGTTGATTTGCTCTGATTGAAGTGAAATGC